AGTTGTGAAGCGTGGGCTCAGTAGTTGCGGCTCCCAGGCCCTAGAGCACAGGCTTAATAGTTGTGGCTCAGTGGCTTAGTTGCCCTGCGGCAACCGGAATCTTCCCGGACCAGGGATCAAACCTCTGTCTCCTGCATTGGCGGGCAGATTCTTATCCACTGCACCACCGGGGCAGTCCCATTTTCTAACTTTGAAAGGCACTCTTATATGATCTGTTATATCATTGACCCTGACATCATTCAGGATCATATACATGTGTGCAACCACACACTGCAGCCCCTGACATCCAGTCTGATGTTCTTTAGCCTGTGAAGTTCTTGCTACACTCAGCAGACATCTTAGTTCAGGTATTTGCCCTAAGTGGGCTAATGCCTGCTTCTGACCTTGGAATCAAGAGCTAAATAAGCTGTGTTCAAAGGTTAGGAGGAGCCAATAGAATGAGACTTATGAACATGTATATCTACCTGCTTATCCAGTAGTTAAGTTTGCTACTGTCCTTAATGGCTATGTAAAATTGCTTTGGAACAAAATGGTTTATATTTTGCTATGTTCGTAAAGATTTCCTGGCAGCACCCCCATTCTGTTTTCATCCTTCTAAAGTATTTACCAGGACTTACTACTTCCATAGAGCTGGAAGATTCTCCGTATCTAATTAGCAGCATTAAGCCATTCCAACATCTGTTCTTCATCCACTGTGACCACGCCCACTGCAGGAGGACAGATCAGACCTCCCTGCGCTCCTCGCATCCTGGGATCTACAGATCGGCCTTCACAGATTTAACAACTGATGTGGAAATAAAGAAGGACCTGCCTTTTACTACTCGGTCAGCCATGGGGGAGAAACCCCTCCTGGAAAATATCCTCTCAATAGGAGATGGCTTTTGGATTGAGAGATATATCTGAACTCAGCCCCCGACCAGTCAATTAAGTATTTACTTGCAGACTTGAGAGAGTTGCAGAGGAGGTAGTTTTAAAAACCCTTTATAGCAGCTTAATCATTGCTAAACATTGGAGCCACTGTCTGCCCTCTAGAGGAAAGTCTACGCACCTGGGGGAATATTTGCCCTTCCTGGTCTGCCAGGGCCCTGAATGAGGGAGAGCCATTCAGGGAGGGAGGAGGTAACCAGCCATGACTGCATAAGACGGGCATCTCTCAGTTCCACCTGCTTTCATGGCGTGGGGCTAGTCGCTGTGCTCGGAACTGGGGTCAGGAGAGACTGGTCAGTGGTGAAGCCCTAGAGGAGCTTTGAGGGAGCTCTGCCCTCACACAGGGGAGAAGGTGTAGGAATGCTGCGCTCTCCCTACGGCACAGCGAAGTTCCTCTGGAGATAGAGCAGAGTCTTCTCTTTTCGCCCATGTGTCCAGCCCCAGGTTCTGGGAGGATGGTTTCCCAGGGGGAGGGCCTGAAGCTGGTCCCATCTCAGGTCGCCACATTTCTGAGCAGCAGGGCAGCTACCCATGTTGATGCCTTGGACACCATGGAGGTCCCAGGGCTGGAACACATATAGCCTCGCTAGCGTTAAAACCGCAGGCCCGGAAACCCAGAGATGCTCTCCTTTCTCAGGAGTTGCATCGTTCAGTGAGGCCACAACACTATTCATCCCACTGCCCCCACCCCATTTCTTTTCCATCCCTCAGTTGGTCCTGAGCTGGTGGCTTCCCTGGGCCTGCCTGCTCTCTGTTCCTCTCAATTCCATCCTCCCAGTTCCCTCACCTCCACCGTCCTAGTCTCCAAAGCTCACAGAAAACTCCAGAAAAGCTGCAGCAGCCTCTTGGGAGCTGAGTTGGTTCTGGGTCAGTCTTCTTGGTTCCAGGTGAAGAAGGCGGCAAGAATGGTTCCCAGCCCTGACCTGGAGACCGTTTTGCTATAGGTTGTGTGAAGAGCTCCGTGGCTCAGGTTCTTTAAAACACAAAGTCTCCCCTTCACAAAAGCATCATGAAACAAGGAGACGGACTGTGGTTCCTCTACAACTGACACCACAAAGGTTCATCAGTTACATCTCTGGGTGGCTCAGGTCGTGGATGTGGGGACACCTCAAGAACCCAACCCAGGGTTTCTCGGCAGCTCAGAGGAGCCTGGGGTGAGTTTCTTTGGCTTAGACACATCTGTTTTTGTGGGGAAGAACAGGTTTGTCTGGGCTCGGGGAAAACCAGGAGACAAAAGAAGGGCCTCAGAAATGTCACGACTCCATGGATCTCGCTGAGCCCAGAGGAAAAGTCACAGTGTTTGATCTCTACCCTCCCCCACCCACTGCTGGTGTTCACCTCACAACACGTGTCAGAAAATTCGTGTTGAACTAGAGAGGACCAGAACTACGAGAAAAATATCAAAGTGAGTTTTGTGCATGAGGATGGTTTCTACAAATGCTTGATAACGGAGGCTGTATTGCCTCTTTACCTCATTTAGATTTCTTTAAAATCCATTTGACTTTGGCCACCAGTTTTAGGATGGCTGATGGAGGCCCTAGGTTAAACAGGTTAATTTTTTTTTTTTTTTTCACTGCACTGAAGCATGTGGGACCTTAGTTTCCTGACCAGGGATCGAACTCTTTCCCCCGCTGGATTGGCAGCAGAGTCCTAACCTCTGGACCTCCAGGGAAGTCCCAGGTTAATATTGTGCTGCCTGTCCAGGAGGAGACATGAGTTGAAATACATCAGCTCTTGGACATTATCCCAGATCAGACATACAAGCAGACAGGCATGATGTTTGGGCGGCGGAGTGACAGCTGGACAGGTAAATGTCCAGAAGTCAGTGGGCAGGCATAAGCTCAGCAAGAGCAGGGGCTGCAGCTGCCTTATCCAGTCACACAGCCCCAGCCCCCAGCCCGTGGCGGTGGGAAGGCTCACCGCATGCTTGCAGTCTGAGTGGAAGGAGGGGGAAGTCCATTAGCAGCTGGAGCAGGACAGCCACCAGCTAGTTTCTTTCTAGGAGGAACCCCAGCCCACCCGGCTCGTTATACCAAGTTCCCTGTGGAATCGTTCAGATCGGGGGAGTGGTCTCAGCGTCTGGAGTCTTGTCCTAGACGTGGGTTCTGTCTGGTGCCCGCACTTCCCAGAAGTCTCCTGGGCTTCTCTGTCGCCTGCAAACAGGCTGGGAGAAGGGAGGGGTGGGAGGACCTGGTAACCTCAGCAGTGCTGGCAATCACTTTGGATTTGGGCTCCCGAAGGCACCTGTGAGTGAGAGGCAGAGCCAGCTGTTGCCTTGATCTGGGGAGGTGGCGGCAGCACCCCATCTGGCCAAGCCTCACCCCTGCCGCTCGCCCGCTGCTCCTTGCAGACCCCACTCTCTGCATGGCCGGGGAGCGCAGCCTGAAGTGCGGGGCCCCACTCTCCCCTGAGCTCAGGCCCTCTAAAATCCACTGGAGCTTGAATCACCTTCAAAGTCCAAGTCCGGTGACCATTACAGATCCACAAGTTGAGATTAGTCTCTGATCTCAAGGTTTCTTGGAGAGAGCCCCGGGGAGCCTGATGCAGCCAGGCAAGTCTGGACATGCACAGCCTCCCTCTCCACTGCTGGGTCTCATCTCCCTTCCTGTCTCCGCTGGCACAAACTCGCTTTGGGACCAGAGTGGCCCCCCTTGGTCACTGGAGAGCCTGGAACCCCAGTCATCTAAGAGATGAGATGCCGCCAAGGAGCCCAGGGTGAGAGGGAAGAGCTAGGTGCCCTGCGATTGGAGCTCAAGAAAAGGGGCTCACGGGGACTTCTCTGGTGGCCCAGGGGCTAAGACTCCGAGCTCCCAATGCAGGGGACCAGGTTTGATCCTGGGTCAGGGAACTAGATCCCACACGGCTGCAACTAAGAGTTAACAGGCCGCAACTAAAGATCCCACATGCTGCGAGCAAGACTTCGCACAGCCAAATAAATAAATAACTAAAAGTAAATATTTAAAAAGAAAGGAGATTCATGGCTGAGAGAGGTGACTTCCATTTGGACCGGACACATACATCTTAATTCCCCATTTAAACCTCAGTTACATAGGGGAAGTGAAATCTCAGGTATGGGGTGTACAAGTCATCTTGTTTCTCTCCCAGAAGTGACCCCAATCTCCCCACAGTACCTGTCTAGAGGTGATCCTGGTTCTGGCAGCTCACTGCCAGGCTTGGGGGCCTGCTCCAGGGCAGCCCAAGGTAAGCTGTTACAGGTTGGTCTCCTGAGCTCGCCTGTTGGAGGCTGTTTATACTGCCCGCGGAGGAGCCTGCCTGTGCTCCCAGGACCATTCACAATGGGATGTATCCTAAGTACCTAACCCTGGGGCTGGTCCAGAGAACGCCGCCCCTGAAGATGAGGGACTTGGCTGAGAGAGCCTTAGAGGTAAGTGGTACCAATCTCAGCCCTGGGTGCTCAGCTGGTCACAGGATGCTTTCTCTCCTGCTTCTCATACCTGTTCTCTCCTTGTGTGACTCTCTCAGGAAGGCTTTGGGGCTTATTTCTCTTCCTGGCCCTTAGGTCCCGAGGGCCAGGCCAACCACAGGGGGCGGGCAAGTGGCTGGCTGACTCTCTCGTCCTGGTCCAGACGCAGGGGGATTCCAGCCAGGAAGAGGGTTCACCCTCTGGAACCCAGCTCAGCTTTAAGTGATACAACGCGGAGGCCTGGGCTTTAGTTTAATGATCAGATTCCAGGGTGGGCTGTCTCGGAAGTCAGTTAACAGTTGAGGAGATGGAAGATGCGCTCAGACTTCCTCATGGCTCTGGTAAACTGGCCAGACATTTCAGTCTACGTTCACTTCATCCTCCTGACTGCCTGGGACCCAGACACCAGGTAATTGCCTGACTTACCCGCTCCCGCATCCTCTCACCCCACCCTGCCCGCGGGTGACAAACGAAGGGGCTGAGGCAGAGAGCGGTCTGGCAGGAAGGCAGAGCCAGCGCGAGGGTTCAGGTCTTCTGCTTCTCTGCAGTCGGGGCTCGCTCATTTCCAGGCCAGTTCAGCCCAGGCAGTGTCTCCCCCTGCACCCCTCCCCGCCCCCCGCCCCTGCACCAGTGGGGCGCAGTTTGAGAGCTAGGCCCTCAGCTCAGGGGGTGTATCCGGCTGCCGACAGGGGTGAGACACGTGGAAGGCCTCCAAGGCCAGCAGTGACTTGTTGATGCGGCTGATGGTGGGGTAGGGAGTGAGGTCCACCTTGAACCTGCGGCAGAGAAACATCCATCTAAGCCGAGGTCTGCAGGGGCACAGCCTGTGGGCGGCGGGCGGGGGCGAAGCACAGAGGCAGGGCTGGATGAAGTCCCTGGGGCTGGCCGGCGCGGGCCTAGGGAGGTGGCCCTGCTTGGGGGGTCTCTGTTCACAGGGAGCTCTGCGGACAGGCAGGTCTCCTGCGGTACCATCTACTGTTCCCACTCCAGGCCGTGGCAGCCTACATGACTTGTATGTGTTAGGCTAGTGCTGGGCATTCATATACAGATTATCTCCTGACCATTTCATGAGCTTCTGGTGGGGAGGGTGGAGAAGGCAAAGGCACCCCACTCTAGTACTCTTGTCTGGAAAATCCCATGGACGGAGGAGCCTGGTGGGCTGCAGTCCATGGGGTCACTAGGAGTCGGACACGACTGAGCGACTTCCCTTTCACTTTTCACTCTCATGCTTTGGAGAAGGAAATGGCGACCCACTCCAGTGTTCTTGCCTGGAGAATCCCAGGGACAGGGGAGCAGTGGGCTGCTGTCTATGGGGTCACACAGAGTCAGACACAACTGAAGTGACTTAGCAGCAGCAGCAGCAGCTTAAGGAGAAGGAATGTGTCTACAACATTCTTGTTAAGTGTTTCCATACCCATAACAGTCCCTGGCGTAGGAAATGGCAACCTGCTCCAGTATTTCTGCCGGGAGAATCCCATGGACAGAGGAGCCTGGTGGGCTACAGTCCATGGGGTCTCAAAGAGTCAGGCATGGCTGAACAACTGAGCACACGCGTGTGCATGTGTGCGCTCACAAGCGCGCGCACACACACACACACACACACACAGAGCAGTGTTCAGCATGATGCCTTCCACAGACAGGTTCTATCTGGGCCTTCCTGAAGGGCTGATGGGAGGAAAGCAGAGCTCACCGCTGGTCACAGACACACCACACGGGGGAGAGCAGGCTCTCAGAGGGTCTCCTTCAGGGGTGTCCACAGGGTGAGGCACCCCTTCTTGGGGGCAGGGACTACGAGGTATCCCCCGGGCTGCAGTGGGCATGGCAATGGTGTTACACCGGCTTCTTCTGGCCATCTCCTACGGTCCAGAGTGGCTGCTGTGGCCTGGCACGGGGCTGGGGGGGGGGGCGGGCACCTTGGCCAGTCGGGGAGAGTCTGCATGAGATGTCGCCTCAGTAGATGAAGTCAGGGCCTGACGGTAGGAGGAAACTGGGTGTTCTGAGGGGAGCAGCCAGGAGGAGGAGAAAGGGTGCTGCGGCGTGCCCTTACCTGTCAGCATTTGCCACCTGAGGCGCTAAGCAGAGGTCAGCCATGGACACCTGCAAGGAGGGTTGGGGGGCTTGCATCAGGGGGTACACCCCAGCCTCATGCCAGTGCCAGTACTGGGTGCTGGCCCCTGACGCAGCCATCTGCCTCTGGCTCTTCTCCCCACCCCCGGCCGCCGTCCCCTGCCTGTCTCCCGTGGGCCGGGCGGGGTCTGACCCTTGGGCAGAAGGGCTTCTCCCGGCTACGCTCCAGCTGCCCGGACAACCAGCTCTGTGGGTAGCCAGAGAAGGCCTGCCTGCCTCAGTGGACGGTTCTGTCCTCGTTAAAAACCACCGCCTCCACCGGCACGTAGGGGGGGCTCCCAGCAGGGACGGAAGCCTCTGGGTGTGGGTGGGGGGTGCTCGGGAACCAGAATTACCACAGGGCCAGGGCCTCAGCCTGTACCAGCCAAGGGCACCTAAACCCTAGAATTCTGTCACTGGAAGGGAATGGAGACACTGTCTAGGCTAATTCCTCATGAAATGCAGGACCGCCTCTGCATTTCAGAGATGAGGTCTTCGACTTGAATACCTTGAGGAACGAGACTCACTTCCTCTTGAGGCAGCCAACCAAGGGGACCTGAGGAGTGCCCCGTGAGGCAACTTCTGCTTAGCACAGAGGGCGCCCTCCCCACACCCACCGCAGCTGCCTCCTCGGGCAGCTCTGGAGGCAGAGCCTGCCCTGGGCTGGAGGGAGGCAGCTGAGTCTCACAGGAGACTGTGGCAGCTTGAGGCGGCCTGCCAGGGAGGGGCTTACCTCGTCCCCCACACAGTACCTCCCCGCCGTACTCTGCAGGATCTGCTCCAGAGCTGTGGGGAGGCAACAGGGCGACTCTCACTCTGGGCACAGAAAAGGGAGATCTGCCTTTCTGGGCTTTGGCATCCACAGCTATGACACGGGCAGCTGTCTTGAGTGGCAAGGCTGGAGTGTGTGCGGGAGGGAACGCGGCCATCGGGCCTGGAGACAGGTGACGGGGTGTGGGGGTGTCTGCCCTTGGCAAGTGCAGCTACCGCTCCCTCCCATGAGAGGACAAGACTGGAGAAGGCAGCGGTTCTCACGCTGAGGGGCAGGCACCTTGCAGGCCTTGGCTTCCTGCCCGCAGTGGACAGTGGGGCAGAAGCTGGGCCACCCACCTTCCAAAGGCCTCGGGTGTGAGGCTCCCAGAAGTACCAGGGGTTCCGGTCAGGTTTGGTTGCTGCCCAACCCGCTGCCCCCTCGGCCCTGCCCATCCATGCCACCACGGTCAAGGCCAAAGGGCCTGGGAGGTTGCTGCAGATGCCCGGGGCCCCGGGTGTGAGGGCCATTTCTCTGAGAGGTCACTGGGGGCAGCTCACAGGAGCAGGGACTCACCGTTAAAGCCAGAAGTGATGGCCTGTTGGGCCCAGGTCAGCTGGTTCTCCTGTCCCACCTGCTTCAGGACAGACAGGTTCTGTGTGGCCCAAGGAAAATCAGGGGTGAGCTCTGGGAGCCAGCCTGAGCCCACCCACTCCGCCAAGGCCCCTCAAGCAAGCCCAGTTCCCATGTGGCCCTTGACTGTATACCTCTCCTACCCTGGACCCCGCGAGCTTTCCTTTCCTACATCTGGCCCCAGGGGTGGAAGGGAGGTGACGATCCTGGAGGCCACCTTCTCAGGCTGCCCTAGAGGCCCCTGCAGTCTGGAAGCCTGTGACTCCGGCAGAGACGTGGAAGGTGGGGGGCGGTGCAACCCAAGGCCTCTCTCCCTTGCATTCAGTGCTTCTCTGTGACATGGTCCTTTGTGAGGAGAGGAGGAGTTGGGGGTGATACAGGGTAGGGGGCAGGACGGGGGAGGCACACAGAGCTAGCTTTCAGGAGATCTGTATATCTGTCTGTTCCAACCTCCTTTCTTAAAAAAAACAAAAAAAAAAAGCAACAAGTGGGCACAGGTGCACAGTCAGGGGTCTGTCGCACTTACAGTGACTGCAAAGTCACTCCATCTTTCTGGGCTATTTTCTTTTTTTTGATCTTTGAGACTATACAGTCCATGGAATTCTCTAGGCCAGAATACTGGAGTGGGTAGCCTTTTCCTTCTCCAGGGAATCTTCCCAACCTAGGGAATCAAACCCAGGTCTCCCGCATTGCGGGCAGATTCTTTACCAGCTGAGCCACAAGGGAAGCCGTGGGCTATTTTCTTATTTGCAAAGTCACTCCACCTTTCTGGGCTATTTTCTTTTTTGCAAAGTCAGGGGTTAGCACAGATGAATTTTTTTTTTTTAAATAGATGAACTCTTTTAGCACTTTTCAGTTCTACCAGTGAAAAATTAAAAAAAAAAAATCTAAGGCGAATCCCAGTCTATGACACAGAGCAGGTGAAAGGGAGGCTGCTCTGGGTGGAGGCAGGGCCTGGGTGGCTCACCTCTCCCTGCCTCCTGGCCCTTTCTCACCTCAGAGGGAGGTGGTGCTTCTGGAGGTGCCCTTGGAAACCTGGGGCATCTCAGAATACGGCTGGGTCCCCGGGGGATGGGTGTTTTCTGGCTCCCCTCCTTCCCCTGCCCCACAGTCTGGAACCAAGTCCCTGAGGGTCCCCTCTGTCCTCCTGCCCCTGGCCCCTGCCCACTGATGAGCTGGGTGCTGCAGGGTGGGTTCGCAGGCACAAGGGAAGGGAGGGAGCCCACACACACAGGAGCCACACCTGCAGGGGCTGGATGCCGCTGGTGATGAGGTCAGACACCATGCGCACCTGGGCCCTCTGCTTCGGGTCCCGAGGCAGGAGTCGCGGCGTGGGCCGGGTCTCCTCCAGATACTCGATGATGGCCAGCTGTCCAGAGGGGAGCAGTGAGACAGGGACCAGAGAGGGCGACCGATTCCTCCTCCTCCACTCCCAACACTACACCACGCCGCTCAGTCGTGTCCGACTCTTCGTGACCCCACGGACTGCAGCCCGCCAGGCTCCTCTGTCCATGGGATTCTCCAGGCAGGAATACTGGAGTGGGTTACCATGCCCTTCTCCAGGGGATCTTCCCGATCCAGGGATCGAACCCAGGTTTCTTGTGTCTCCTGTGTTGGCAGGCTGGTTACCACTAGTGCCACCCGGGGAAGCCCAAATCACCACCCCACCTTTTTTACCCTTTTACCATCCTCCCCTCGAGCCCCGTGAAGCCAAGAGGCTCCCCAGGAGGACGGGCTCATTTTCAACCCTTGTCCTACAGAGCGTGGGCTTCCCCCTATGCTTAAGTCTCTCCTCACTTCCCAAAGCAAGCGGGCAACCTCCCTCCCGCGTCCCTCCTAAGAGTTGGGCGCCTTGTGTAGACACAGGTAAAGAAGGGCTCTGAGGTCTTCTTGTCTAGGCCCCATACTCATGCAGGGTCTCCCAAAGCTTCCACTCACGGACTGGCCGATGGTGATTCCATCAATCTTCAGGGCTGGCACCTGCTTCATGGGATTCAGGGCCTGGAATTCTTCAGAGAACTGTGGAGACGAGGCTCTGGTGGACTGGGCGGCCTGGCCTGAGTCAGCTAAAGCAGAGCGGAGCAAGCAGGAAGCCCCCAGCCTACTACCCACCTGCACCCCCCTCCCCTGGGGAAGGCCCTGGCTCCGAGCCCCAGGGTGACACCTAGGGGACTCCGTGCAGAATCCCAAAGCCCAGTGGCCGCTGAGATACAGGCTTTGTCCTGATGGCCTGGCTGTGTGCTTATCCCTGCATCTCGTATGTGGCCACCAAGGCACATCGCAGGGTTCACCATGGGGCAAGGACCAGCTCAGCACCCGGCCTCCTGGAGCCGTGCTGTAGTATGGCACCTGGAACCTGGGCCTCCCCGTGGCTCAGGCAGCTGCTGCACAGCCTGCCGCTCTGTCCCACGAGGGAGAGCCAGCAGCCTCCTCCGGCCGTGGGGACTACAGGGCGCAGGGCTACAGGGTTCCCCTCTCGTGGGCAGAAGGCTGCATCCCCTGCTGGGCCCCTCTCCGAGGCCTCTGCCTCCTATATCGTGGCCGGGGGGCGGCCTCCTTACCTGCTGGCCCCCATCCTTTATGAGGTTGACGGCTACAGTCTCATAGTCGATGTTTTTCAAGGCTAGAGCTACGAGAGATGGCAGACAGCGGTCAGGTGGCCACCTCCGACCACATTCCCCAGGGCGACCAGAGAGATGGAATCTTCTTTCTCTGCACCACTTGGGGAAGTCCTGGACCCTGCTTCCCGTCTCCCTTGACCAGCACCTGCTCTCCTACCCCAGGGCCCTGACGCTCTGCCTCTCTTCCTCCCGGGCTCACTGTGCCCCTGGGGAGCGCTGGTGCCCCCATGCTGTGGAGGACAGCAGGGAAGCGTCCCCGTCAGCTCTGCCCCCTGCAGGGCCTCACCCGGCGGCAAGCGGGGCTGATGTGCTGGAGACGTGCACTCATTCCCCCGGCCGAGGCCATCTGAGTGAGGGCTGAGGGAAGCTGTTCAGTGACCAGGCAGGGCCCAAGTGGACCAATGACACTCTGGTTCTGTTTAGAGAGGAAGCCCTTGCTAATCCATCCTCTCCGTTCTCCAGGCTGTTGACTGCAGATTCCAAGCAGGGTGCCAGGACTCTCTGGTGGTCTCAGCGCGACATAGCTGGGACTCCCAGTGGCTGGATTTCCTCTCCTCCTCTGATGTTTCCCCACTCCCCACCACCCCTCCCAGCAAAGTGACGGTAAAGCAGTCAACTGCAGTGGAGGAGGCTGTGTAAGTGTGCACACTTGTGCATTAAAATATGGCGATGGCCGGCATCAGGCGAAGGAATGAGGGGAGGAGGGTGAGGTATGTCAGTCTGCAGAGAGCCTGGAGGACACTGGGCTCCGTCAGCCGTGGTCAGCTCCACCCTGGAGGGTGAGCGTGGTCAGGGCCGGGCCGGAGGCCAAGGCACACCGGACCCGCAGAGACAGCGCCCATGCTGCCAGTCTGGCCCAGCCAGGGCAGAAGCTCTGGGCCGGGGGAGGGCGTCTTCGTCAAGGAACGTGTCCTCGGGCAGCCCAGTGCTCTTGCCCACCCAATCTAGCAAATACCAGGGGCCCGTGGGAAGAGGAGGTCATGGAGGATGGCTTCACAGTCAGGACCGGGCTCCTGGGAGCAGGCTGCCTGGATTCAAATGTCATCACGTTCACCCACTAGCCGCGTGGCCTTGGGCAGGTAACTTCATGAGCCTCTGTGCCCGTTTGCCCAGCTGATGGGCAGCCCAGGGTAGGAAAGAACATGGGCTCTGGAGCCAGACTAGCTGGGTCAAATTCCAGCTCCGCCCCTTTAGTAGCTACATGACCTTGGGCAAATCCCCTCGGGCAACCTCCCTGTGCCCGTTTTCCCACCTGTACAATGGTGACACCAACAATACCTCCCTCCTAGGGTTGTTCGGGTTTAAATGGAGTCATGGGCACAAAAGCACTCAGCACCATTCTCTCTCGGCAAGAGCCTGTGACTCTCAGCTTGGCCAAGGGCTGAGTGAAGCTGAGGGAGAGAAGGGTCAGATGAGAGCTGAACTAAAGGGGCCCTGGTTTCTCCTTCCCTGAGGCCTCTGGGGTTGACACTGGCCAGTTCTGTTTAATTTTCCAGATCAAATAAGATAAGAAGTGAGGAATGCCAGCTGTTCCCTGCCAGTTACCAAGGACCTCTGAGTTCTCTGAGGTTGCCTGAAGCATGGTTGCTATGGGGCTTTGGAGAGCAGTATGGGAGAGGTAGCGGGTCCAAGAGGAAAAGCAGCCCCTTCCTTCCTCTTGTTGGCTTTCCAAGGTAGACATGCCTTCAAGGCTGAGGGCTCCAGATCTGCTGGGGGCGGTACCCCCAGCTTTTCACCCAGGATTCCCTCCACCCCACCCCGGCTCTCAGTGGAGGCACAGCTCTTACCGATTCGAACTCTCCATGAGCAGGAGCTTCGGAAATAGGAATACAGGATGGGCTGAGGAGAGAGGACGAGGAGGCACGTTAACCCATGCTTGCTGGGTTCTCAGCCTCAGAAGTCCACTGGAGGGGAGGCAACTCCCAGCCAGGAGGCTCCCAGCAAGCCAGGCCTCCTTCCTTAGGCCTGCATCTGCAAAATTCAGGCCAGACTCAGAGCTATCTGGGCTAGAGGCCTTGGGGGTCATGTGGTGACTCCAACTGTGCTGCATGCGTCCCTGAGGTCCCAGAGACTCCCCACAGGGGAAGTCAGTCTGCAAATGCTTTCCTTACCTTGCTCAACTCAGCCATGCTGCTGCGGAGACCCCTGGCCTCTCAGGGAACGTCCACGCTCACAGAGCTGCAGGGCAGGGGGAGGAACCTACTAAAGGGGTGGATCCTACTACCAGCCAATGGGATGCTGGGCTAAACAGGCATCAGGGGAACTTTGAATCTGGTCAGAAAGGGCCTCTTGAACTTGTGGGAAGCTTATGCTTCTGGTGGAGCCAGGTCTGGTGTCCTGGGCAGACAGGGAGGCCTAGTTTTGAAGCAGTAGTTAATGTGATGCAGTGGGCTGGGAGCTGGCAGACTTGGGGTCTGGTCCCAGTGCAGGAACTAGCTCTGCATGACTGGGCACAGAGCCTTGCCTTCTCTAGTCTTCAGCTCCCTTGTCTGTAAAACAAAGGGTTGCCCTAAAATGATAGTTTAATACCTTCTGACAGTGGCAGAGAGATCGGGAAATCTAATTTTCTGAGCCTTGGAGCCCATCTCTTTCAATATTCCACCTACCAGTCCTCCATGCTCTCAAGCGATCTCATTAAAAGCCAAGGAATATGCCCATGGACTCCACAGTTGAGGTCACAAGCTGGCAGCCCACAGAGTTCTGTTTGGTCTATACTGTATTTAAAAACCTTTCAATTAGTTGCTAATATTAAAAATCACATTGTTGTACATATAAATCCTGTTGCTTGTTTTTTCTTAAAAAAGAAAAAAAAAAGTCTGGAGATACTGGACTGTTTTCTGAGTAGCAACACTGACCAAAGACAATTAATAACCCCCTTTACAGAAGGCATCGGAGAAGGCAATGGCAACCCACTCCAGTACTCTTTCCTGGAAAATCCCATGGACAGCGGAGCCTGGTGGGCTGCCATCTATGGGGTCGCACAGAGTTGGACATGACTGAAGCAACTTAGCAGCAGCAGCAGAGAAGCCATACCCTCTCAGATCTGCCTTGGCCCTGTCTCTCATTTTTGTTGAAGCCCCTGAAGGCAATAGCATGTGAGACATCACCTCTGAACTTTCGGGGACTCAAAGTTAGTTTCTCTGGTGCTTCCAGGTACCCAGCATTTCAAAGCAGAACCCAGTACAGAATGACCAGTAATAAGCACTCATGAATCTTCCAGCAGACACATATGTACCTTATGGATGACAGCGAACTCAATAGAATTTCTCAGATCAGCCCTGTCTGCCATCTCTCTGACTATAGACACTTCACCCAAGTTTCCTCCTGCTTCGGCATGCACCAGGTCACCAAGCTGCTTGCTCCCTGACCCTGCTTTCCTCATCCTTGAATGACCAACTCCACCTTCCATGCAGGTGAGGACACAGTGGGAACCCAGTCCTCCTAAGTGAGTTCATGAGACTGGGCGTCCCAGTCTATCCTGAAGGCAACTTTCATGGGGAAAGTGAAGATAGTTCTGGACAAAAGTCAAGTGATAGGCAGCAGGCATTCTTGGAGGAAGAGTTCGCTGGCCACAGCTATATGTACCCTGCTCCAGGGTGCCTCCCTTTCCTTATCTGGTTAGGCTGGAGGGGCCCCTGGGGTCAAGAGGCAGCGACTGCTGAAACGCAATAGAATCCCTGCTGCTGCTGCTGCTAAGTCGCTTCAGTCATGTCCAACTCTGTGCGACCCCATAGACGGCAGCCCACCAGGCTCCCCCCGTCCCTGGGATTCTCCAGGCAAGAACACTGGAGTGGGTTGCCATTTCCTTCTCCAGTGCATGAAAGTGAAAAGTGAAAGTGAAGTCCCTCAGTCGTGTCTGACTCTTAGCGACCCCATGGACCGCAGCCAACCAGGCTCCTCCGTCCATGGGGTTTTCCAGGCAAGAGGACTGGAATGTGTGTGGTGCCATTGCCTGCTCCGAAAGAATCCCTAGAGAGCCGCAAACATTAGCTTAGAATCTCTGAAGAAACACCTTACCTAGTTACAGTTATACCTTTGACCTGTGCTAAGGGTGACAATGCCATTAAGTCCTCACGTTTCCTACTTAGGGGCCATCAGCAGATAAAACGAAGGGTGGTTTCTGATCTCTTATGATACCTGAATAAGCCATCCCGTGTTCCTTTTTGCATTTGCAGAGCTAAACTTTAAGTGCAAGTAAAACATCCATTTCATCACCACTCCTGGAGGAATTGTTTCCAATTCAAACATGAATTCTTACCATTCCAGCAAATTTTATTTTTAAACCATCTCTTACACACGATTTTCGAGAAAGGGTCCTAAACTCCCATTTGGGTGTGGGAGGTCTGTTATTATCAAAGCGATGTTCTATTCCACCTAATGTTCCTGCCACCTTCCTTCGAGCTACAATCGCTGTTTTCAATCTTTAATAAAGAGATTGATACGGTGGTTTGGGGACAGGCTTGGGAAATGCAAATTAAAAGTGGTAAGGTCCCCAAGTTATTGTTATGACCACAAGTGCCACCGCCTCCCCTTTGCACGCTCTCAAAATGCAAACAACCCTGGAAGGCCGTTTGCTGTTAGACCCGTCAGGCTGACCGCCGGGAAAATATACGCAGGACCGACCGCGGAACAGGGAAGACGGAGAGACGACGCTTAGGAGGCCCCAGCGGGTCGAGCTAGGGGATGGCGAGACTAGTGCAAAGCGAGGGGACAACTGAAATAACCCGCGACATCTTGGGCCCAATCTCCCCTCCCACCCCCGACCACAGGGCAACACGCAGGCGCAGAGCCGAGTCCGAGCGGCGCACGGCCTGCTGGGAGTCTTTGTGGGAGCTGTGGGCGGAGCCAGGCGGTCACCTTTGACCCCGGCCCCAGGGTCACCTCAGTGTTTCTAAGCAGCGGCCCCTTGTCCCGGATACGCGGCACAGACCTTCCCCACTTGCATCTCGCACTGCGGGCGGCCCCTCCTTCCGGATCAGGAAGCTTCGCGCCTGCGACTCTCCGACTCGGCGACGATTCGGGCCCAGTGGGACCCCAAAACGTCAGAACTTCGGTTTGAGTCTGAGTAAAAAGTGAGGGGCCGGCCCCCAACACGTCAGAACTTCGATTTGGGTCTTGGTAAAAACGAGGGGCCGGACCCAACACGTCAGGACTTCGGTTTTGGTCTCGGTAAAAGTCAGGGGCCGGACCCAGCACGTCAGGACTTCGGTTTTGAGCTGGGTAGAAGCGAGGGGCCGACCCCCAACACGTCAGGATTTGGGTTTCTGTCCCGGTAAAAGCGAGGGGCCGGCCGAGCATGAGCCCCAAGGTCTCGGGTAGCTCGGCCCGCCCCGTCGCCACGCCCCCAGCCCCGGCGCCGCTGGGAGCCGCAGCTCCCTGAGCCCGCCTTCTCGCCGGGCCGGCGCAGCTCCCGCGTCATGCTCTGCGCCACTAGCCGCCTCCTAGCGGCCCGGGCGGCGAGCGCACTCCCCGCCCACCCCAGAGGCCGGGGCCTGGCGCCGCGTAGCCGGCGCAGGGAACTACATTTCCCAGGGCACCCCGAGCTGCCCCCTGGTGACTTCTTGGCGGGGCGCTTCGCAAGACCCAGCGTGCCTGCGGGCCGGAGGGCCATCCTGAGGAGGGGAAGGATGCCGCCGGCCGCGGGCGGAGGCTTGGCGGGATCCGAACTGCGCCCCCGGAAGGGCCGATACGGGTCCCAGGCGGCTCGGGCCGCGGGCCGGGACGTGACCACGGAGGCAGCTACAGCGCGGAGCCCCAAACGGCCTGCTCCTCCGAGCTCGCGGCGCTTTGAGGCGGCCGGCCGGTGGGCCCTGCTGGCCCTGGTGACGCTAACGTCCTTCGTCACCCGGTTCCACCGTCTGGACCAGCCGCCACACATCTGGTGAGTGCTGGTAGGGCTTGGGCGGGCACCGTGGCCACGCGGAAGGAGGGGCGCGCCTTCTCATTGGCCCGGGGTCGCGGAGGGGCGGGATTCACAGTGGGATGGGCGGGGCCCGCTGGAGGTGGGGGATACAGGTTGCTGGTGGTGGCCTCTGGCCAGGTGCATCCCTCAGGAGAAGGAATAGATTTTAGCTCTGGTGGGTGGCAGTGGGATTCCTCAGTATGTGAGGAAGCGGCCTTCCTGTCTTGCAGACTATTCTGCAGTGCCTCACGTGACTTTTAAAGATGCTCTGAACTTTTCCAGGAGAATTGGAAATCCTTAGTATAGAATTTCCTAAGCCCGAGTTCCTAATTTGCAGGGTGTCCTGGCCTCAGAGGGTGGGGGGAACGTTCCTAACTGGGTGTCTCATTATCAGGAGCCTGAACAACTTGTGTGTCCATGGGTGATAACAAGGGTCCCACCTGGCAGGTCTGGGATCATCCTGTGAGGGGAGACATATTTTCTTTTTTCTTTTTTTGCTCTAAGAAAAGGATATATTTTAGACTACTTCCAGCATACATTCACTGGCACCCAGTAAAATGGACCAAGGTAGAAAGCATTTTAGCTTTCATAGCACTAACAGCTAAAAAGCACACAGCATATAATACTTTGATCTTGAAGTGGGTAATCATGGAAGTTCCAAGATTGTATCCACTAGGTTAGCCTGAGTATTCATCTATAAAAATATTTTTTCAAAAACGCATAAACGAGGGTTATGAAAACAATGGGACTACATCTGGACCTGTAGAAGACAGTGATAAAGACTGCACATGTAAGACTAGGAATTGATTTTCACATGTAGCTTTTAGGTAAAGGAAATCTCTTAAGTTGATTCCTACTAGCTATGATGGTAGGATTTTCACAAATCTTGAGATGGGCAGCTAGCTGCAGTTAACTCCTAGATAAATACTCCCAGTCAAAACCCCCACTGAGGCTGTAGGACTCAAACTGTGATCAGCTGTGGGTGCATGAAAAGCCTCCTGGGATATGTAAGACCTGCTGAGCCAAGAGTGTTGAGGATGGTAAATTTTCCCAACATGGACACCCTGACATGAATGCTGGGGACAGGCATCCCAGGTAGAATGCTGGACTCGGGTTTGCTGCAGGAGCCAGACTCTGAAGCCTGAGAGAGGGGTCTACTCGGGGAGGAGTACTAGGGTTACCAAAACCAAGAATGTCTCGTCCCAGAAAGGTCAGGTAATTGTCTTCTGACCCATCAATACTTAAGATTAATGAAGAGTTGCAGAAGAGTCAGTGTTTCCAAGATGTATTCTTCTGACATCATTAGCCAAAGCCTCTCCCAGTCTACTGAGCTGGTGACATCCAGGAAGAGCCCGGAGCCTGAAGGTGAGACCTAGGGCCACAGATTTTTCTGGGAGGCTGGCACAGAAGATGATTTGCACAGTGACGTCACCACTAAACCACTGCTCAAGTCCAGTCCCCGGCCTTCTTTTTCTGCTCGGTACTCCAGAAACATTTCTTTAAAAGCCAGAAAATCCGTAAATGTGAGTAGCATGTCAAAAATGTCACCGGCCACTTCATCTTTATGGTGCTGTAAAGTTGTAGTGAAAGCCGCCATGTTAAATCCAGGAATCCGCTCCAACAGCTCTTCTTCTATATACTTTTCTACCAAAGAAATATATTCATTAAAAATAGGTGTGTAGGTAAGCTTATTCTCTTACGTGTCTTCAAACTCCTGGTAGTACTTGTCCATGAAATTCCTCTGTAATAACTGGAACTCATCATCCATGATAATGTCCTGTAAATATCCAACCAAAGCATCAAATTCTGCGTCAGAGGCGGAAGAGGAGGACAGCGCGAAGCTCTCTTCCTCTAGGGCGTCCATCGCCGCCGCCGCCGCATCCACCGCGCGTCAGAGAGCGGACCCGTTGGCCTTCTACCCTTGCCTGCGGTCCGGGCGCAGCCTCTGCTCTGCACCGCAGAGCTCCAACCGGCATCCGGGAGGCCTCGCCGTGGCCGGCTCACGGCCCAGGTAGCGCCTGCGTGCGACGCCCCGGCCTCAGGCTCCCCGGCTGCGGCCGCACGCCGGCCGAGCCTCCCAGCCCTGCCAGGCCTAGCTAAACTCACATATTTTCTTAAAGATTTTGTTGGACTGAGTTGCAGCAGTCAAATTCATTTAAAAAGCTTTAAGAGTCTCCCGCTGGAAGGAGAAAGAGCTTTATAGGATCTGAAAATGGTTAATTTGTTTGGCCAAGAAGTGATACTATGTTTTCTCCGCATCACTGAGGAGAAAGTTAGTGTAGAGGTTGGTAGAAATGGAACTCCTTGACTAAAAACCAAGATAACAGATGGGGTTACCCCACTTGGAGGCTAAGGAATTAGCTTGTTATTATTTCATGAATGCTGACCGAATATATGAGACTCCTGGGTCAGAGTCAAAAGACTTACTGCTCATGGCAGAGGAAGCAGGATGAATATGGGCAAGTTGGATTCAATTTCTCATGGTCAGGAAGCCCCACGTGGTGACGCTATGGGCTCAGATGGATGACTGCGCACACAGTGGGTTGCCTTGCAGCTAAGGAACAAGCCTGAGGGATTTACTGTTTTACAGCAAGCAATAAGCAAGCATACTTTTTGTCCTAGAGAGAGACGTTATCTCATCTCCCAAGGCTGCTGGATGCAAACAGAACTTTGGGAAATGGTCCAGGTAAAGTGCAGTGAAGGCCCTGCATTCTGAGCATACCCAGCGAGATGTGTGGAAGTACAAGAGAGCCATGGAGGACTGTCTTTCCCAACAGGCTCGTTGCTTGATTTTAAGCTGTTTTGGCTTTTACCAAATCTTCATAAGCATGTGCAGCTCCATTGGCTGCTCTGTGTAACCTGACTCACAGGGACCAAGTCTGTTTAACTTGTCTCATACAAGACTTGGTTAAAGCTGCTCTCACCAGGACTCAAACTGCAGGGTGAGGCCAACCTGTGATATTAACCTCTGCCCTCCAGGGTCCTGGATTCAGCCCACCTAGGAAGAATTGCATGTGTGGAGGTGTGGGGAGGAAGGATCAGTAAGTCTTATGTCAGATAGCTGGGATGTAATCTAAGGCCAGTCTATTTCCCATTATGGTCTGTACACCGATGTTTAGGCTGAGCTCTGATTTTTGGTGTCATTGCCAATAATTATGAGTTCCCTCATTCAAAAAGCAATTCTCATGCCCGATGGAAAGACATTCCATGGCCCAGTTCTTCCGTACATTCTAACATATTACCTGAAGGGGTGCATGTCACTCCAGTTCAGGATCTTCTGTTAAATTTTATTGGGATCGCCATCAGATTTGGTTTAGACCACCATTTCAGTGATTTGGTTAAACCACATGGGCAGTGAGTGTCACTGAGTAGCTGCAGCCTCAGTCACTATATAAGGCGCAACCTAAGGGCTTCCCTGGTGGCTCAGGCGGTAAAGCGTCTGCCTGCAGCGCGGGAGACCCGGGTTCTATCCCTGGGTCGGGAAGATCCCCTGGAGAAGGAAATGGCAACCCACTCCAGTACTCTTGCCTGGAAAATCCCATGGACTGAGGAGCCTGGTAGGCTACAGTCCACGGGGTCGCAGAGTTGGACACGACTGAGCGACTTCACTTCACTTCACTAAGGCCCCTAGGGTGTAGGAGAAGCGTATGAATTTGTATCAGTCATACTTCCCAGGTGGCTCAGTGGTAAAGAATCTGCCTGCCAATGCAGGAGACACAGGAGACTTGGGTTCAGTCCCTGGGTTGGGAAGATCCCCTGGAGGAGGAAATTGCAACCCATTACAGTATTCTTGCCTGGGAAATGCCTTGGACAGGGGAGCCTGATGGGCCACTGTCCATGGAGTTGCAGAGTCAGACATGACTGAGTGACTGAGCACGCACGCATGCTGATAGAAGGAGGTTCGGCACACGTGTGAAGAGAGATCCATGCTTGGGGCTTCATGTAGATATCATCGGTGACAAGAGGAGAGCTCAAGACTGGCCATGTCCACATGAGTTTTTCTGATTTTGTAGCAGGATGACAGATTCAGCAACAGGTCAGATTGCTGTCTGCAGCCGCCACTTGCCTTAGTTGTACCGTAGTGTTTTGGCAGTCTAGAGTCTGGGCCTAGGAGGTAAAGAGCATTAATTATTTCCCTTCTCTTTACATTTCCAGGAGCCTAAGACGTTCCTTCCCTAGGTGGCAAGGTTATATCTTTCCCGTCACTGCCATATAATCCCTGTGTCCCACTTAGTACCTGTAATTTCACCTTTACTCCAGTTATTGCATACTACTAATATCCAGACCTATCTGCCATGGGCGCTGTCAGAAAATTGGCACAGACTTGTTATGCCTCCCCCCTTGGCCCCCATGAGCTACTGTAGAGGGACTTCACAAGCAGTATGCTCAGCCAAGTGATCTGTATTTTTACCTGACTCCAACGAGAAAATCCAAGTAACTGAACTAGAATTAAATTTCAATCCTGTAAATCCTCCACCCTCCCCCACCACAGGCTGATCTGGACTTGCTGTTAAGGGAGACAAACCAAGCCCAGGAATAGTCAAGGAAGAATCTCAAATTTTCCAATAGATTTTTATAACACACCTCTTTTATCCTAATCATTACCCAGTTGGTGGCCAAGAGGAGATAAACACCTAGTTAGGTGGCCAAACTATGTGACTAAGATGTATGAACCAGGTGGAGGTGAGGGAAGTAGAATCAGAAATCTTTTTGAGAAGAGTGTTCAGTGCTTGATAATATCAGATACCTGTGGATGGTCTAGAGTGTGGAATGTCATTGGATAATTTGACTACTAGGCCATTGCAAAAAAGAAAGGTGCACCATTGTCAGACTGTAAATGATTTGAAACGCTGAAAACATGACGCAGTTTAGTTTCAAGGGCCACAGGGGTATATCTAGAGTAAGATGATTGGACTGGAATAGCAGTATCAACACTGTAGCCTGAGAAGTGGCAGCAGGTGCAGGGCAGCTGATAGGCTGGAGAGGGGAGCAGGCCTCATATGGCCGGTTTCCTTGGGGTGGGCAGGTCAGTGCCCTGAGCAGTGTGGCTTCCTTTATGACAGGACTGACAGGCCAGCTTTTGGAAGGCAGCACAAGTGTCCACAGTGTAGTAATGGCCGCTGCTTTGGGAATAAACAGTCCTTTATCTTGTGCCTCCATGGTGGTGGATGTATTTCCACGCCTGGTGTGTTGATGGCAGCAGGTGGTATCCTGGCAGCGATGGCAGTGGTCAGGATGGTGCAGGTTTGATCAGCAGCTTGATTCTAATCAATCTTATCAAAATACTGGCCCTTATTGGGGCTATCTTTATGAGAGATCCAGATTGTCCCCTTGACATGCAACAATGATTTTTTTCCATGATTGGCTCCAAGGAGGGGATCTTTAAATTTCTTAATATATATAGCCTTCCAAGTGACCCACCAGATGGTTAGGCCAATGGCAAAAGCCTAAGAGTAAGTAAAAATATAACTTGTCTGTTTCTTAAGAGTATCATCTAAGGCACAGGCATTGACTTTTGATTCAGTGCATTGTGCCAGTCAACCCTTTCTCCAGGCGTCTTTCAAGAGTTGTCAGTGGGGCTGGATGATAGCTACTGCCCTGTGGCTACTGTCTGCTTTTAGTTTAGCTAAAACATCAGTAAACCAGGCACAAACATTAAGAGGGAACTTTGGGAATCAAGACCTCACTGAGTCAGGGGCTTTGCTACAGGTAGTGGAGTGGAGGATAGTTTCCTCCAAAGGGACAGCTAACACCTGTTTTTGAAAAATCAAGATGCTTCTCGGGCCAGGCCAGCTATGCTCTTGAATATACCATTTCCATTTCACCAACGAGGCTTACTGAGCCGTTTTCTTGCTAGCCACAGTTTCAAAGCAGCACGATCAGGCCAAAGACTGTGGTTCAGGCTCTTAATTTCAACAAGAGCTTAGGAGTAGGTTGGTAGTTGCTTCTTTAAAAAGGTATGTACTTGAAGCCTATGTCCAGCAGATGGCATTGCTTTCATAGAGAACCCACGCCTCCCCCCAGCCCCATTCCATCTTTAAAACTGTAATGTCCCTTTTTTATGATTATCTTGTTTCTCTAGGACCCCTTGGGAGGGGACAGGATCACCTCTCACTATGCAGCAGTCCCTGAATGGGATAATCTTTGACATGTGTAGGATAAAGACAAACATGCATTCAGCAGTGGAAGCCTCAACAGTAGTTTCAAGGGCCCCACCCACAAGGGCACTTTACCTTCCCTTCCCGGATGGGAACTTGGTTCAGACCCTGTCAGTTGAATTTGGGTGCTTTCCCTGCTCTTTGAACTAACAAGTCTAATCGGCCTGCATCAGGAGCTACAGTGACAGCCATCTAGAGGTTACGCCACTCCCAGGTGGGGAGTCTGGGCAGTGCTGGATGCAGGGGGCAGGAGGAAGCCTTTCTTCCCTGTAGCGCCTGGATAGGTTTGCCCCACTTCTTCCCAGTGTACTTTCCTGTGTCTGGTGAGCCCCTACTCTTAGGGACCGTCTTCTTTCAGTCCCTGTGCTCACTGCTCTGGTCCTCCCTGCAGTCCTTGACGCCTTTGGTAACTCCTGCACCTGACAAGTTGTCTCCTCAACGCTAAGGGATTGAGTAGGGTGCTCCTGTATCCAACAGGACCTTGAGCTTGAGTTCCCTTTCCTCACCATACTAAGAAGGGTGTGCGTGGCCTTTATAGTCCCCTTTAGGGACAGGGAGACCTTAACCTCATCTTTCGTCATTTTTCTCTTTGAAGCAGCTCAGATTGTGGCAGAGGGGCGGGATCATGGGACCCAGAGGGACAGGGTGGCTCCGAGTCTCTGAGCAAGGCACCCTTTGAGCTTGGGCACACAGCTCACCCAGGGACCTTCCCATATTTTCACTCTATGCAGAGTTCTGTATGGAATAGCAAGGTCCTTACTGCGGGCACCGTTCAGGTAAGCTTTGGGGGCTCCGTGATTCATCAGATGCATCCATATTGCCTTTTGACTAGGGCTCCTCAGCTAATTGCCCCATACTGGTGATTACATCTTTTCCTGCTTTTACCCAGAAGAATGTGAGCAGTAATCAAGGCAGCATTCAGACAATTTGTTTCAAATCTGCCTCTCTCCACTCAGCCTCAATAATAGGTAGGTCAGTGGAAGTGGAAGATTCTTACTACTTCCCTTCCCCACCTCTTGGGCAAGAGAATTTACTACCAGATCCAGGGAGTCTTCTGTCATCCCCTACCCCTGTCCCTGAGGGGCCTTGTCCTTTCTCTTGAGGGAAGCTATAACTCAGCATCCTATGCTTATCAGGGTTTCGGGTTTTATTTTTACCCTGTGTGCATGCATGTATGCTTAGTCACTTGTCATGCCCGACTATTTGCAACCCCAGGGACTGTACCCCACCAGGCTCCTCTGTCCATGGGATTCTCTAGTCAAGAATACTGGAGTGGGTTGCCATTCCCTTCTTCAGGGGATCTTCTGGACCCAGGGATCAAACCAACGTCTTCTGCATTAGCAAGCAGGTTCTTTAGCATTAGTGCCACGTGGGAAGCCCTTATTTTTACCCTACTTACCAACTAATCAGTTAGCCTGTCACTGTTTTATGGATGCTGCCAGGAGACAAAGTCCTGGGTCAGAGATAGCCGACTTCATTTCTCACGGTACAGCAAGCAGGATGGGCATCAGTATGTTGGCATCAGCTCTGCTTGCCCCAGTTGTTCCATGCCCTGGGCCTGGATGAATGCCTGCACATGCAGTGGGTTGCATCACAGCTGAGGTGTATGGAGCTTGGGGAATCCGCTGTTTTATAATAAGCAGTAAGCCAGTCTGCTTTCTGTCCCGGAAGGAGATTCTGTGTCTTCCTTTAGGTTGCAGGAAGCATAACCCAGAGAAATGGCCTGAGTAAAGAGTTATCAGGACCTTGCGTTCTTGGCATATCCTGCAAGGTCTGTAGGAACAAGAGAGAGCCTGGGAGGACTGTCTCCCACCACAAACATGCAGTGGAAGCCAAGAGGAAGTGTGAATATTACCACTAGTTTTACTTGAAAGTAAAAATCTTATACTTCTCTATCAGTATGTTTCCAAACAGACTTTGAAACTAACCACAAATGTTGGGACAGTTTAAATAGTGCCCTGCATGTGTGGGACTATAGTCTGCAAAGTTCTCTCACATGTGTTACTTGATAGCTCCCTGGGAGATGGACTGGCAGATACTATTATTGCCTTCTTCATGTAGATGAGAAAAGAGATCCAGAGAGGGTGAGTGACTTTTCAGGGTCATGCTCACCCAGTGGGTGGTGGTGCTGGGACCGGATCTCTTTTTTTTTTTTTTTCTGCAAATCTGTTTTGTCACACTTCTTGGAAGTTATTTTCTCTGACATCACCAGGTCACCGTCCTCATTTCATGTCAAGCCATGTGCTCAGCAGATGCAGAAGTAGATTTACCCTTTTGCCTAGCTATTAGACCCAGTGAGTAAAACAAACAAAAGAACCCTGTATTTTTGCTAAGAGCGTGTTTTGCCCCTCATGTTGTAGGTCAGCGATAACTGTTTATAGAAGCTGACCTGGGGATGGATAGTGCCTGGAAAGCAACTGCCCCTCTGAGTTGCAGGGAGAGACTGACACACACAAATGGCCAGGTTCTGCTGGATAACTGGCCTGCCGCTGTAAAGCCCCCATGTAGGATGTGAAAGGTTTACTGTGGTTTTGTAGAAAAACAGGATTTTTGCATTGTGTTTAAAAGCTAATGTGTTAGAATCACTTCTTTCCTTGCATGGTAATTTTCAAGTAAATAATGAGGATGGGTTTTAGATTGATTGTTAACTCAGTGAGAAGGCTCTTACTTTTCAGTTCAGTTTAGTGGCTCAGTCATGTCCGACTCTTTGTGACCCCCATGGACTAGAGCACGCCAGGCTTCCTTGTCCATCACCAACTCCTAGAGCTTGCTCAAACGCATGTCCATCATTATAGTAAGATCAGAGTTCACAGTCAGAGGTTAATTATCACAAGGTTGGGAACAAAATCAGACTCCAGCCCACAGTGTAGTTTGTAACAGCGAGAATAACATAGTTTTTAGTAGTCTTGGGGTTAGAAGTTAGCAGACTTGGAAGAAAACTTATTGTAAAACTTTTTATAATATAGGAAACTCTTTGCTTTTTTAAAATAAATAGAAACTCAAGACACAGAATAAGTATAGATTTAACTTAAATTTATGATGACAGGTTGGTATTTGCTAGCCTTTATCTTCTGTCTAAATGCAGATTAAGGACCAGCTTGATGTCTTGTTTCCTCAAACTACTTGCATTAAAAGCACTTTTTTAAAACTCAGATTTTCTCATTAATTGCTTGAAACTTGTAGTCTTTGTTTGTTTGTTTGTTTTTAGCCTTTGATTTTAACTGTAAATTTAACCATGCTGTATTAAGGCTATTTGGGTTGTATGATTATTTTAAGAATTTCATTTCTCTTCTGTTTTCTTTTTAGTTGGGATGAGACTCACTTTGGAAAAATGGGCAGTTACTATATCAACCGCACCTTCTTCTTTGATGTGCACCCACCTCTGGGAAAGGTGAGCAGTGTGGTGGACTGCACTCTGCTAAGGGTTGGAGCCCAGTCTTAGGTTGGGGTTTAATTCTTGGTCTTGTAGAAAGAACCCTCTGACATCCCAGAACGGCTGCTTTCATGGGAAACCTTTGGTATTTCTAGGAGTTCTCTGGGCTCAGAAATAGAGTTAGAATCCATCAACTGAAGGATGGATACAGAATGTGGTATTAAATATAAGATGGGATATTATGGAGCCATAAAAAGAAAGAAGTATTGACACATTTTGCAACATGGATTAATCTTGTAAACATTATGTTAAATGGAAAAAGTCAGACATAAAAGGCCACATATTATATGATTCCATTTATATGAAATATCCAGAATTGGCAAATCCGTAGAGAAATTTAGATTACTAGTTGTCAGGGCTTCCCTGGTGGCTCAGTGGTAAAGAATCTGCCTGTAATGCAGGAGACCTTGGTTTGATCCCTGAGTGGGGAAGATCCCTTGGAGATGGAAATGGCAACCCACTCCAGTATTCTTGCCTGGAAAATCCCATGCACAGAGGAGCCTTGTGGGCTACAGTCCATGGGGTCGAAAAAGAGTCGGACATGACTTAGTGACTAAACAGCAACAACAAGGGGGAAGGAAGATTGGGCAGTGACTGCAAATGGGTGTGGAGTTTCTATTTGGGGTGATGAAATAGTCTGGAGCTAGGTAGTGGTGATGGTCACAGAACCTTGTGAATAAACTAAAAGCCACTGAATTGTACACTTTAAAACGGTGAATTTTATGGTATGTGCTGCTGCTGATTAGTCGCTCAGGTGTGTCTGTCTCTTTTCGACCCCCACAGAGCTCGCCAGGCTCCTCTGTCCATGGGATTTCCCAGACAATACTGGAGTGGGTTGCCATTTCCTTCTTCAGGGGATCTTCCCCACCCAGGGATTGAACACATGCCTCCCACTTGTCAGGCGAATTCTTTACCACTGAGCCACCTGGGAAGCCTGGTTTATGTTACATGAATTTTATCTTATTTGAAAAAAAGAAGAAAAAGGAAATGGAGGGAAGGAATCTGTTGCAGAAAGTTAGGGAGCTGATTTCTACAAGAGGAGGGAACTCTCTTCCCCTCCCCACTCGCAGCACGTTGCTTGGCCTCTTCCTTTCACATGGTTTCCAATTAGAAATAGAATGCATCTTACTGTCTGAGAAGCAAACACTCCTGAGAAGACTAATGGATTAGCCCAGGTGTTCACTCAGTCCTTTCTTCCTACCTGGAGGCTGAGATCTTTGGTACCAAGGGGATAGGAATTGGCCTGGTATGAAGTGTTCTTGGAGCGTGGAGTACCTGGGGCTGAAGGCAGTGGGTGAGAGGCAGCAGGGGTCGTGATTTGTGACAGGTGGGCTTAGGGGGCAGGCACCAGAGCATGGGGTGGGGACCAGGGAGAAGGTCCTGCTGGTTTCAGGGGAGGAGAGGAAGATGAGGTAGGTGACCTATTTCAAAATTAGCTCCAAACCCAGAGAAGAAGCAAAAATGCTTCTTTTTGTCTCCTTATAACAATAAGAGAGCAGCAATTGAACAGTCTCTTTTAGTCACTGTAGATGCATTAACTTACTTAATGCTCAGAACAACCTTATGCAGTAAGCACTGTTCTATCCTCATTTTACAGAAGGGGAAAGTGGGACTCAGCCATGAGTGGTTTGCCATGGGGAGTATAGCCAGTAAGTGGCAGAGTCCAGGTTCAGACTGGCTTACAGTCTGCTGTCTTAACTATCATACAACTGCCTCCGTAACTTGCCTCGCCCCAGTACTGGGGCAAGTACATCCGTTACCACTGTAGACTTAAGCCACAGAACCTGCTGAATATTTGCATTGGTCCAGCCTGGGAACCAGCTCCACAGAGATTTTTCATAGGAAACCCAGCCCTATCTTGTAGCTAGAAATTGCCTGTCTGTTTTTGGAGTGCGCTAGTGCTCAGCGCAATGAAGACGTGAGAACACTGGCGGCGTTGTTTTTGCGGAAGCCTTCCCTTCCTCCCATCTGGCTCCTGTGTGAAGGCAGAAGTGGGAGGCTTCTTTGTAAGGCTGCCACCAGGGAGTACAGTCTGTCTGCCTGCTTGAGAGAGACTGATGAGCACAGCAGCTTCCATAGGTTCTGAAGCCAAGCTAGTCAAAGACTCAGAAAGCCCCACGGGAGCTGGTGGTCCAGTGGTTGACTTCAGCTTCCAATGCAGAGGGTGCAGGTTCAGCCCCTGGTCAGGGAGCGAAGATCCACATGCCCTCAAGGCCAAAAAGCCAAACCATAAAACAGAAACAATATTGCAAAAAATTCAATAAAGACTTTTAAAAAAATGGTTCACATAAAAAAAAAAAAACCTGAAAAAAAACAAAAACCCCTTGAAGTGATGACTAGGAAGTTTTCTCCTATAGTACTGAGGCCAATGCCTGCTGCTTCACACTGGCCCCAACCCTGAGTGCCAGGGGCTCCAGGGAAATAGGTGCTTTAAAAGAAATAAAAATGCCTGCACATAGCAAGAAATTTGATTCGAACAGAAGGAAATAAAAGGTCAAAAGCTACCTTCTCTCACATTTCTATTCCTCAGAGGCCACCAGAGCCACCTTTATTAACATTTTCTTATATAGCCTCTCAGAAACTTTATACAAATACAACAGTGTATACATTTATTCACATGTATATATTAGTACACATGAACAACACATTATATATGCAAATAGAAACAGACTAAAATTGAGCAACTTGTATTTTAAATATATCTTACTTTTTTTCCACATCAGCATATAAAATGTAGCCCATTCTTTTTAGTGGCTATATAATATTCCATTATACGCTTAAGCCATAAATTATTTTGCCTCTCTTCTACTGGTGGGCATTTATGTTACTTCCAGTTTTGAGTCATTACAAAAGATAATGCAATGAACTTCCTTGTACATTTGTCTTTTCAAAGTTGTGCAGGTGTGGCTAATAGAGCCTTAGCACCTGAACTGAAGAGGCAAAGGATGTACACATTTAGATGTGAGTTAGACATTGTTAAGTTATCCTGCAAAATGTGATAATATATGTACTCCCACCAACAGTGTATGAGGGCGCTTGCTTCCCTCACCTCATTGCTAGCACTGGTGTGATCACACTGCCAAAACTTTGCCAATTTAAAAGTAAAAAATGGTATATAAATGTTTCCATTTGCATGTCTTCCTAAATTAGACTGAAAATTTTTTTGTATGTTTGTTAGCCATTAGTGTTTTGTTTTTTTAAGACAGCATTTTTTTTCTAGTAAATCCTCTTATTCATACAGATTTGAATGAGTTTTTGAGTTAGAAAATTAGCAGAGTGGGCTTCCCTGATGGCTCAGATGGTAAAGAATCTGCCTGCAGTTCAGGAGACCCAGGTTTGATCTCTGGGTTGGGAAGGGCCCCTGGAGAAGGGGATGGCAACCCACTCCAGTATTCTTGCCTGGAGAATCCCATGGACAGTGAATCCTGGTGGGCTACAGTCCATGGGGTTGCAAAGAGTCAGACATGACTGAGCGACTAACACACGCTTTTTTAAAAGTTTTATTTCACTTTTTAAGTTTCTAATTTTTTATTTTTGGATGCTAGATCTTTGTTGCTGCTCAGGCTTTTCTCTAGTTGCAGCAAGCAGGGGCTACTCTTCGTTACAGTGTGCAGGCTTCTCATTGCAGTGGCTTCTCCTGTGGCGTGCTAGCCCTAGGGCTTGTGGACGTTAGTAGTTGTGGTTCCTGGGCCTAGCTGCTCTACCGCATATGGGATCTTCCCGGGCCAGGGATCGAACCTATATCTCCTGCATTGGCAGGTGGATTCTTTACCACTGGGCCACCTGGGAATCCCATCAGGACTACTTTTAACCTTATGGGAACTAAGAGGGAACTGAATTTTGAATGCTTGTTAAATGCTTGGAAGAGTACCAGGTGTTTTACCTTTGGCATCTGCTCTAAGCCTTACAGTCATCTGTGAGGAAGGTTTTATTACTTGTAGTTCAGAGAGTACTAAGTATTGTCCCCGGTTAGAGACCTCGTACGGGAGGCACTGAGATCCAAGTCATCGGCACATTCCCGTGTGCTGTGCCACCAGCCCAGCGGTCTGGGAATTTCTGCACCAGGTGGGCTTGTCCTCTGAGACCCCAGGTGGGAAGGGACAGTCATTTGATTGTCACTTCTCAGTTTAAGTTCATCTGGGTATTCGGATGGCTCTGTCTTCTCAATACCTTATATTACTTTATAGTAAATTAATTAACATTAAATATAACTTCTGGATGCTGGGATTCCTCTTTTTTTTTAATAAGGATTTATATTAATTTACTGCTGAGTTTTGGTTCCTGTGTCTTGACATAGAACTATGGAGAGTGACCTGTTTAGAACTACTTAGAGAAAAAGTGGGTCAGTGGTCCACGTCCGAGCCCCCAGAAGCAGCGCTGCTGGGCGAGGCTTTCTCTCCACACAGCCTAGCTCGAATGCAGGGGTCCGGCCCAGGCAGCCTGGGGCTGTTACCGATGCTTGGTATTTGCTGACAGTTCTTATGTTTTAGCTGCTTCTGATTATATGTGTGAATAAGCAAGTTTTATACTACTGATGGTCAGGGAAAGAGAAATGAAGAGGCCAATCCTCTTGAGTGTTTTGAAGGATTCACGACTCACAGGCTTAGTTTGCAATTGACGTGTTCAGTTTGGGGATGTGCCAGGGTGGCCTCTTTTTGGAAGACTGGCAGTAGGAGAAACCAGTCCCTGGCCTTCTGACTTTGCACTGGGACTTTTCCCTTCCCCTCCGGGGAAGTGCATCCATCTGCGTCCTGCTCCCCATTTTCTCCTCTTCTCTCTATGCCTGGTGTGTAGCCACTTGGCCTCTTTCCTTGCTCCTCATCCTGACTTGGAGCCTCATTTTCCTTTCAGTGGTGCGGTCTCCCAGGAATCAGCCCCTGGCCACAGCCTCCGTCCATGAGCTGTCGTGTTTTACTTCACAGCAAGTGAAAGAAGGCTGACTGAGGAAGCCCCTCACTGGCTCTGCCCTTCACACTGGGGTTCTTTTCTTCTTAAGTACTCAGTCCTCACTGCTCCCAAGGACTTGGCCTTGACACAGGAGAGGATTTGTTTCAAGCCGTGAGCTCTGTAAACAGGAGAGTCTTTGCTCTGCAGCAGCTGCCGGAGAAAGGGTCACGCTGGCGGCTCTCCCGTGGGCAGCTGGGAGCGGAGTGTGGCGGCGATGGGGTCTTCTCTCCGAGGCCTCTCATCTTTGTGTTCCGCCTCTCTCCTCAGATGCTGATTGGTCTGGCTGGCTACCTGAGCGGGTACGATGGCACCTTTTTGTTCCAGAAGCCTGGGGACAACTATGAGCATCACAGCTACATGGGGATGAGAGGAGTAAGGCTTCCTGACTTGCGATTGGCTGCCTGAACCCTGGGGCCACACTCAGTCAGAAATGTGAACAGTCAGAAGCCCTCAAGTGGTGGCCGGTCTAGGAAAAGGGACTCTGGGGAGGAGGGGGTGATTGGACCCGTGCCCTGTAGTCAAGATTCAGAGCTGGGGTGAGTAAGAAGGGTGAGAGAGGACACAGGTAATACGGGGATGACACAGGTGGGAGCAGGCCCAGCCTGTCACCTGTTCCCCTGCCCACGAGCAGCATCAGGTTTCAGATTGGAGGGCAGCCCAGGACTCAGGCTGCCAGGAGGCTGCTGTGGCCCTAACGTGGGCCTCAGCACATTGGCAGGCTACATGTCCTTCCTCTGTGGCTGCAACTGCTGCACTACTGCCTCCCTCTGGGGCCTTTATTGACATCAGCACGCCCACCCCCCATGACCAGGTTCTTCCTTCATTTCCCCGTGAAGATTTCAGCACACGCGGGTTTTCTGGTCCTTTAAGGGAAGTGTATGTTTGCCCCGTCCCACTGTGCTCTGAGTCCCAGCACCAGCCCTGACAGAACATGGCAGGGCCTAAAGACCCAAGTGTCTGGGCACCCCATGCTGCTGATGCTGCTAAGTCGCTTCAGTCGCGTCCGACTCTGTGCGACCTCACAGACAGCAGCCCACCGGGCTCCGCCATCCCTGGGATTCTCCAGGCAAGAATACTGGAGTGGGCTGCCATTTCCTTCTCCAGTGCATGCATGCATGCTAAGTAGCTTCAGTTGTGTCCGACTCTGTGCGACCCTATGGACAGCAGCCCACCAGGCTCCTCCTTCCACAGGATTCTCTAGGCAAGAGTACTGGAGTGGGCTGCCATTGCCTTCTCCGAGCTAAATTGGACCTACAGGAACCATCCTTCAGTGTGGAACTCTCAGAGCGGGTTGCATTTGCAAATCCCTTCCCTCAGGGAGTTCAAAGCAGTTTAGGTAAAGGTCATGTTATTATTTGGGCTGTAGTCATTGGCTTGCTTGTGCAGTCATATCATACTGTTTTAAACAAGGAGTGTCTACTACCCTCAAGTTCATATTCTGGAGTGATTCTGTGTCTTCCTAATGATGTTTGATCACCACCGAGCATACAGAATTGGATATCGGCCTGACTATAAACTTGCTATGGAAGTGAAAAGGTCAAATATAACAGCCTGTTGCCTTTCACACCAGGGCACATTGCTTTCTGCTAACAAAAAGTGACAACCCAAATGTGAGAATTTCCATTCCTTTGGTTTGTCTGATTACTTTTTTTTAGTATATGTGCTGCCGAAGCGAGCACTGTCTGATTACATTTGATGGATAGGGTAGGGGAACAGAGAGAACACTGGTGGTTAAAAACAAAACCAAAAAACAACTGTCCAGATGCTAAAGTGTCAAGCTGTCTTTTTTCTAAAATCAAAATACAACCTGTAGATTAAAGAGTGGTTCCTGGTGTGATTGGATAAAAGGACCAAGGGAGAAAGAGCAGAAATAGCATTAGAATTCTCTAAAATATTAAAATACCTTCAGAGAGCTATTTCTCTCCTTGAACCCAGTTTTGTAACAGAAGCTAGCGTCTATCAAGAACTTTCTGTGTGGTAATAAACTTTAGCTCATTTAATCTAAAAACTAAGCCCTGTGCTTCCCTGGTGGTCCAATGGTTAAGAATCTGCCTGCCAATGTAGGAGACATGGGTTCAGTCCCTGCTCCAGGAACATTCCACATGCCACGGGGCAGCCCAGCCCATGCGCCACAACTGCTGAAGCCCACACACCTAGAGCCCGTGCTCCGCAACGAGAGAAGCCACTGCAATGAAAAGCCTGTACACTACAACCAGAGAAAGCCCACACACAACAATGCAGATCCAGTGCAGCCAAAACTAAACAAATAAGTGAAAATGAAAAAGTACACCCTTTGAGGCAGGAACGCTTATTTTTCATGGAAGGGAAGGCTGAGATACAGAGATATGACTTTGTCAAGGTCACAACTAGCAGTGATGTGTTGGTCCAACCCCAGAGTCTCCCACTTAAAACCAGTGTGCCCTCCTGCCCATATCTCCCTGGCTGAACTTCGCTGATTTCATGTCAGTGCCCAAGTTGGTGCTCAATGGAAACTTAAACGTTGCTTGATTTGATGCTTCACTATTACACAGCCCCTTTCATATTTAAATATATTCAAAGTCATCAAGTCATGCCATCCGTCATCAGGGCCCTCCATCTCAAAAGATCAGTTTGTACCAAGTCAGGTAGGTCCCTGATGCTTTGCTTAGTTGGTCCCTTGACTGCTTTCCTGTCCTTCCCTAGTTCTGTGCATTCCTTGGCTCCATGCTCATCCCTTTGGCCTACCTCACTGTGCTGGAGCTGTCCCGGTCTCTCCCAGCAGCACTGCTCACGGCCGCCTTCCTCACCTTTGGTAAGTTGTCCTAGACCACGTTTCTTGGGAAATTGACTGCCATCCTATGAATGTAGCTAGAAAGCAATGCACTTGAAGATCTTTGTCTGTGGGCCCAGTTCTGAAGTAACCTTAGGATTGGGTAAATGTATTCCAGATTTCCTTTTACTCACTAATGATACTTACATATATGAGTACTTGTATGTAGCAAGCCTAAATAGTATTGGAGGTGTGAGAGGGTATGTGCAATCCCAAGGAATAGATTATCTCTAAGTTATCCGCATTTGAGTTTGGAATGGATAATATGTATATGTGTGTTTGTGTGTATGTGTGTGTTTGAAGGAGGCTTACAGTTCTAATTCAGCTATTCTTAGTTACTCTCAAGATTAGTTTGCATTCCTTAAACTAATTTCACCTGAATGCAGGGGCATATGCCTCCGAAGTAGCTGGGTGACAGAGGAAAACAAAATGGAAATTTAAATTATTTCTGTGGATTAGCCTCGTATGGATAAGTGAGAGTTGATCTGTAGAAATTGATTCTGTTGCTAGCCTGGCTCATATGAGAGTGAATTCATGACCTCATTGAGCTTAACATTTAAAGAAGTCCAAACCAGTTTAGATGGTTACTTTAGGGATGATTCTGACTTTGCTCTGACAGATAAGGTTGCAAGATTATAGAATCTCCTTCTAGAGGACTGGTGGCTTTTTCCTTGGGTCTTTTAATTTCCCTCCTCAGTAGTTTTCATTCAACAACTACTTTCAAGCATGTACTCTGTGCTAAGCCACTTTCTTGGCCTCAGAGGTTATGTTGATGAGACAGGACTATCATGGAGCTTGCTTACTAATGGGGCGGATGACAAATAAGCAAATAAATTAGTAAGTCTGTAGTGTAACATTTTAAACAGTAAGTACAACATAGAAAAGAGAATAGGGTAAAGAATAGAGTAATATGGGGTGATTCTGTTTTAGGTAGGGTGGTCAGTGAAGAGCCCCCTGAGGAGGTGGCCTTGAGCAGATATCTGAGGGGACAGCATGTACTGTGGTTCTGGTGCGAGGCAGCCCTTGGTGGATTCAGAGAACAGTAAGAAGATGAGGCCAGAGCAGAGCACGATAGCAGAGGAGGCTGGACGGGTAGGGAGACCATGGCCATCTTGAGGAGTTTGTTAGTCTGAGTGAGATGGGAAGACATTGAAAGCCCATGATGTAATGAAATTTTGTTTAAAAAAAGAAAATCACTTCAGCACCTGCATGGAGAGTCAACTCCCAACAGAGACCTCATGTGAAATGATTAAGATTCTATCCTGGGTGTATGTAGTTTATGGCTATGTAAGCATGATGGCTGGAGAAGGCAATGGCAACCCACTCCAGTACTCTTGCCTGGAGAATCTCAGGGACGGAGGAGCCTGATGGGCTGCCATCTATGGGGTCACACAGAGTTGGACACAACTGAAGCGACTTAGCAGCAGCAGCAGCAGCAAGCATGATGGCAGAACTTTGGATGGTCGCAGTTAGCAAGAGCCCTTGTCTCAGGATCACTCTGTCTGAATGAATGACATGATTCCTTCTGGGGTCAACGGGTTGAAAGTGTGAAATGCTCTTTCATATCATTGGTCTTTGGTGTATCCCAAAGCTGTGTCCTTCCGCTTTCCAGTTGACTCACTTGCCCATCTAATCTTGACTGCACAAACGCTTACATGCAGTTAAGCCCAATGGGGACTGTTTCTTAATTCTGGGGTGTTTTGTTCTCGGGGTGGCCCATCTCTGATTCCACTTTTTGACCACTGAGCTCATGTTTTTCAGACACAGGATGCCTCACTCTGTCCCAGTACATCCTCCTTGACCCCATCTTGATGTTCTTCATCATGGCTGCCATGCTGAGCATGGTCAAGTACAACTCCTGTGCCAACAGGTCAGCAACACCATCTCTGGGAGGGGATGTCAGAAGCTGTGGCAGCTCTAGAGTTTCTATGACGTCCAGGGGCGGGGTGGGTACAGTGCCTAGAGGACTTGTCTTAAAGCTGAATTTCAGGCAAGTATACTTTAAAAAAATATTTTAGATTGCCCATTTTAGATCATAAAAATAGATTTATAGAAGTTTTCTGTAGATACTTTTATTTTTGCTTTCCTAAGACTAAGAAAATATCAGTTGTCTTTTTCAAGAGCCTTGTTATTTTTACAACGGGGGTGGATTTGGGTAGGGGTTTATGTTACTTTATGAAGGGGTCCTAATGCCTTCCCCCACCCCACCAGTTAGCCACTCCTCAGCACCAGTGCTGGTTAGGAGATCCCAGGACAACTTCATTCTTCACGTGCTCTGTCCTAGAAGGGAGGGCACCAGAGTAGGTGTTGCCTGGGAACTGTTTGTCTCCCTGTCCTCAGTCCTGATCCAAGGATGGGAATGATGTACACAGAGGTTGGCTTGAAAGGTCCACATGGACCAAGAGGATCCCTGCAGGCCCTGGTCAGCCCTAAAGCTGCTCTGGAGGGCCTGGTCTTCTTCCAGAAGAGTCCTTTCCAGATCATCCTTCACCTTTAAGAGAGTAGAATAGGTCATTGCATCCAAACCAGAAGAGCTGGCTCTGCCAAGGCTTTTCCAGAAGCAACCTGATTTCACTACAGCCAGGCCATGACCTCCAACTCTCTCTGGGTTTGGCTTATCTTCCACCTGCACCGTATCTCCTCCCACCTGCCATTTCTTAAATACAGACTGTGCCAGGTACTGTGCCCAGAGCTGAGGGTTCAGGAACATATAGGTCTTGACTGTTAGGGAGCATTTGCCGTGGTGGGGGTGAGGGTGGGGAACTGGGGGGTCTGCAGCTCTGAGCACTAAGTGCTCTAGTACAGCAGACCTTGGAACCAACCGCCTGGCTTAGCACCGTGCTCCACTGCGGGTGGCTGTGTTCCATGACCTCTCTGTACCTCGAGTCCTCGTCTGGAAGAAGAGGCTGATGACAGGCTCTGCCTCCATGGGGTTGTAGTGAAAGTTAACAGGTTAATACGGGGTGCAGTAATGCGGCTTCCCTGGTGGCTCTGTCAATTGTCAATCCACCTGTCAATGCAGGAGAAGCGGGCTCCATCCCTGGGTCGGGAAGATCCCCTGGAGGAAATGGCAACCCACTCCAGTATGCTTGCTGGAAAAATCCCATGGACAGAGGAGCCTAGCAGGCTACAGCCTGTTGGAGTTGTAAAGAGTCGGACATGACTGAGCGACTGACCACACACACACACTAGTAAAATGCTCAGAACAATGCCTAACACATAGTAACACTCAATAATTGCTAGCTTTTACAGGGGACAGTCTGCCTGAATCCAGTGGGCTTCTCTGGATTTTCCTTTTCCTTCCACTTGATTGGTCACCACTGAAGAATAAGCTCTTGCTTACTTGACATCCCTTACTTACTTCACCAGGGCTGCCATGACCCTCCTCCCCAGAAGAATTGTGCTCTCAGACGGTGCTCCCACATGGTGCTCCTGCAGTCTCGGGTTTCACAGACCACGTCTGCCTCGGCGCCATGTGTGGGCCCTGAGGTTGGGAGCCCTCGTGAGAAAGGCACAGGGCAGCATCTGAGAGTCGGGGGACCTCTGCCCCTCCCCGCTACTGTGCTTGCTGTTGAGTTTGGTTCCAGCCACCAAGCTGAACTCTGCGTCTTGTTGGTTTTCAGGCCCTTCTCTGCCCCCTGGTGGTTCTGGCTCAGCCTGACCGGCATTAATCTGGCTGGCGCTCTGGGGGTCAAGTTTGTTGGCCTCTTCATCATCCTGCAAGTGGGGTGGAACACCCTTTCAGACCTTTGGCACCTGTTTGGAGACCTCAGTCTTTCAATGGTGAGAACCCAAGTGCTTGTTGAAATGTCTTTGCTCCCTAGAACCAGCGACCTTTCTCCACTTGTGCTACAGGGGGCAGAATGGCTGTGTTCTGGGCCCCAGGCAGGCTGGATCCAATGGCCCTCTGGAGGGCGCAGGGCAGCAGGGGCTGGGCCATGACCCACAGGCTGAAGAGGGAGAAACGGAGAAGATGGACTGACATCCTTGGGGTTCTCTTTTGGCTTTCATTCCTGCATTGGTTTTTAAATGTTCTACAAATGACTCATTGGAAGAAACCCTGATGCTGGGAAAGACTTGAGGGCAAGAGGAGAAGGGGGGCAACAGGGTGAGATGGATGGATGGCATCACCAACTCAATGGACGTTGGTTTTAGCAAGCTTCGGGAGATAGTAAAGGACAGGGAAGCCTAGTGTGCTGCAGTCCATGGGGTCTCAAAGAGTCGGACGTGACTTAGCAACTGAACAACAACAAATGACCCAAGGGGATCCTGTTTCGTTGGACTCAGCCACGTGTGTGGCAGACACTGACTGCAGGGGCCTAGAGTAAACTTGGTGGGCTGACTTTCTGAACTTAGTTTTCTCTTCCTGACCCAGAGTCTCCAGACTTGGAGGCCACTAAGAGCCTTACAGTTTATTACAGTATTATTTGTTATGAGCTGACTCTGTGTCCTGCACTATGGAAAATGCTTTACCTTTATCATCTCATTTTCTCCTCATAAGAGTCCCGTGAGGAAGGTAGTTATTACCCCCTTGACAAATGAGGGAAACTGAGACCTAGAAAGGTGATATTGTTCCCAAGGTCATACAAGTAGTGAAAAGGAGGTCTAGGATTCAAAAGGAGAGGCTGACTCCTTATCTACTGCTTTGCTGTAACACCTCTCCATCACTTCTGGCGCTAAGTCCCAACAAGTTCATTTAGAAAATATAGACAGACCATCCACTGAGTATGAGACCCAGAATATGCAGATGAAATTCAGACTGAAATTGAAGAAAGTGGAGAAAACCACTAGACCATTCAGGTATGACTTAAATCAAATGCCTTATGACTATACAGTGGAAGTGAGAAATAGATTTAAGGGACTAGATCTGACAGACAGAGTGCCTGGTGAACTATGGATGGAGGTTCATGACACTGTACAGGAGACAGGGATCAAGACCATCCCCAAGAATAAGAAATGCAAAAAAGCAAAATGGCTGTCTGAGGAGGCCTTACAAATAGCTTTGAAAAGAAGGGAAGGGAAAAGCAAAGGAGAAAAGGAAAGATATACCCATCTGAATGCAGAGTTCCAGAGAATAGCAAGGAGAGATAAGAAAGCCTTCCTTGTGATCAATGCAAAGAAATAGAGGAAAACAACAGAATGGGAAAGACTAGCGATCTCTTCAAGATAATTCAAGATACCAAGGGAACATGTCATACAAAGATGGGCTCAATAAAGGACAGAAATGCTATGGACCTAACAGAAGCAGAAGATATTAAGAAGAGGTGGCAAGAATACACAGAAGAACTGTACAAAAAAGATCTTCATGACCCAGATAGTCACGATGGTGTGATCCCTCACCTAGAGCCAGACATTCTGGAATTTGAAGTCAAGTGGGCCTTGGGAAGCATCACTACGAACAAAGCTAGTGGAGGTGATGGAATTCCAGTTGAGCTATTTCAAATCCTGGAAGATGATGCTGTGAAAGTGCCTCACTCAATATGCCATCATATTTGGAAAACTCAGCAGTGGCCACAGGACTGGAAAAGGTCAGTTTTCATTCCAATCCCAAAGAAAGGCAATGCCAAAGAATGCTCAAACTACTGCACAATTGCACTCATCTCACACACTAGTAAAGTAATGCTCAAAATTCTCCAAGCCAGGCTTCAGCAATACATGAACTGTGAACTTCCAGATGTTCAAGCTGGTTTTAGAAAAGGCAGAGGAACAAGAGGTCAAATTGCCAACATCTGCTGGATCATCGAAAAAGCAAGAGAGTTCCAGAATAACATCTATTTCTTCTTTATTGACTATGCCAAAGCCTTTGACTGTGTGGATCACAATAAACTGTGGAAAATTCTGAAAGAGATGGGAATACCAGACCACCTGACCTGCCTCTTGAGAAACCTGTATGCAGGTCAGGAAGCAACAGTTAGAACTGAACATGGAAAAACAGACTGGTTCCAAATAGGTAAAGGAGTACATCAAGGCTGTATATTGTCACCCTGCTTATTTAACTTATATGCAGAGTACATCATGAGAAATGCTGGGCTGGAGGAAGCACAAGCTGGAATCAAGATTGCCAGGAGAAATGTCAATAACCTCAGATATGCAGATGACACCACCCTTATGGCAGAAAGTGAAGAAGACCTAAAGAGCCTCTTGAGGAAAGTGAAAGAGGAGAGTGAAAAAGTTGGCTTAAAACTCAACATTCAGAAACTAAGATCATGGCATCCAGTCCTATTACTTCATGGCGAATAGATGGGGAAACAATGGAAACAGTGGCTGACTTTATTTTTCCTGGCTCCAAAATCACTGCAGATGGTGATTGCAGCCATGAAATTAAAAGACGCTTACTCCTGGGAAGGAAAGTTATGACCAACCTAGACAGCATATTAAAAAGCAGAGACATTACTTTGCCAACAAAGGTCCATCTGGTCAAGGCTATGGTTTTTCCAGTGGTCATGTATGGATGTGAGAGTTGGACTATAAAGAAACCTGAGTGCCAAAGAATTGATGCTTTTGAACTGTGGTGTTGGAGAAGACTCTTTAGAGTCCCTTGGACTGCAAGGAGATCCAACTGAGTCCATCCTAAAAGATCTTAGTCCTGGGTGTTCATTGGAAGGACTGATGCTGAAGCTGAAACTCCAATACTTTGGCAACCTGATGCGAAGAGCCGACTCATTGGAAAAGACCCTGATGCTGGGAAAGATTGAAGGTAGGAAGAGAAGGGGATGACAGAGGATAAGATGGTTGGATGGCATCATCAACTCGATGGCCATGAGTTTGAGTAAACTTCGGGAGTTGGTGATGGACAGGGAGGCCTGGTGTGCTGCGATTCATGGGGTCTCAAAGAGTCGGACATGTCTGAGCGACTGAACTGAACTGAAAAGAAGATTCCTGTCCTCTAGAGACAATGGAGAGAGAGAGAAATAAGAATGAAAAGAAAAACATAAGTCACATTCCAGCCAACAAGTGCTGTGAGAGCACAGAGAAGGATGCGAGCCCAGGCTGAGGCATTCTAGGAAGGCTTCTTGGGGAAAGCTGAGGCCCAAAGTTAAGATCAGGAGCATTTATTCATGTTCACGTGTTGGGTGGGGCCGGTGCAGTGCAAGAAGTATAGGGAAAGTGCAGGGTGTCAGTGGTACTGGGAGGGAGAGGGGGTGAGGAGTGATGATGCTGAAGATGCAGGTCACGCCTTGTCAGCAGTCTGGGGACAGCCCAGGGCCCTGGGTGAGTGTGTGGCCAGGCTGTGGAGGGCTGGCCAGCATCCGCCCCCGGCAGTGCTTGGTTGGTTGGGTGTTATAAGAAGGCTTAGGGTTTCCACATACCTTTTTCTCTTGATGGCTATTAGTTTTTCAGTTGTTTTTGATTATGACTTACATATGTGCTGATGTGCTCAGTCGTGGCCAATTCACTGTGACCCCATGGACTGTTGCCCACCATGTTCCTCTCTCCATGGAATTTTCCAGGCGAGAATACTGGAGTGGGTTGCCATTTCCTTCTCCAATGACTTACATGTAAATACTTAGAAATAACACACACGTCAAGCATAAGGCATAGTAAAGCCTCCTATGCCCAGCACCGGTACTGACTCTGTTTACAGGTGACCTTGGGAAAACATCTGACCGCTCGCATCCTGTGCCTCATAGTGCTGCCACTGGCTCTCTACATTGCCACCTACGCTGTCCACTTCATGGTGCTGAATAAAAGGTACCACCAGAGCCTTGCCAGTGTCTCGCTTCTGTCCTTCTCTTGTCTCTAAGCCCATGGAGGAGCTGCATGATTTCCTAGGTCTGTGGTTGGGATGACCTGAAGGGGACCCAGGGTTGGTTGCCTACTGGGTTCTGTCTTCTGGGTGCCCTGGCCTGAAGGAAGAAGAGAAGGCCTTTGTAGCCAAACTGCCTCTTATCCCTAGAAACAGTCCCCTTGTGCTAACAGGGATGGGGGACCATGAGCATGTACAGTTGGAGTGAGGGTAATAACAACAAGGACACCAGCAGCTCCCATTTAGTAGGTAGCAACTGTGTCAGAACTGTGCTCAGCGTTTTGTGTACTTTATCTTACTTAGTCATAACAGTTCTTTTAATTTTTTAAAATCCCCGATTTATAAATGAGATGTTGAGACTAAATGAGGCCAGGTATCTTACAAAATTCACCTAACTAGTAGGGGAGCTGTTACGTGGACCCCAGTTTCCCTGACTCCATCCCCCATGTCTGTCCATGACACTGCACCGCCACTCCCTGGTGCATACGTGCTCAGTTGCTCAGTCGTGTCTGGCTCTTTTGTGGCAGTAGCCCACTAGGCTCCTCAGTCCGTGGGATTTCCCAGACAAGAATACTGGAGTGGTATGCCATTTCCTCCTTCAGGGAATCTTCCCAACCCAGGGATTGAATCCCCATCTCCTGCACTGGTGGGCGAATTCTTTACCTCTGCACCACCTGGGAAGCCCACCACTCCCTTGTACATCTTTTAAACCAACCACGCAGAGCTTTTCCCAGGGCTCCTGGGAAGTCATAATTTCACTCCTCTAACTCTGCTCCCTTCTGCTCTGCCCTCCCCCACAGCGGTCCCGGTGATGGCTTTTTCAGTTCTGCCTTCCAGGCCCGGCTTTCAGGAAACAACCTTCACAACGCATCCATTCCAGAACGTGAGTGTCTCTTGGCCTTTATGAAGAGAAAAGGGCAGGAGGGGTTCCTGGGAGTTGGATTGGAAAAGACGATATGATAGCCTGAGTTATTTTAGATGGCAGTGTGGGAGAAAGAACCAGTGAAATCTGGTCTGAGCACTCTTGACAGTGAACAGGGACACAGAAAGTGCAGAGGAGGGCGTCCTGAGCAGTGAGCTCTTTGATCAGAAGATGACTTGTCCGATGTGGCTATGGGAAGACAACACCGAGAACCTGGGGGCAGGGGGAATGAACCCCTTTGGGGCTAATGGTCAGTTCCTACCAGAGTGTCCTGCAGTTCACATCCATTTACTATTGACAGAGAGTAGTTGAGCACGTGTTAGCCATGTTGGAGGCTGTAGGGCCTGGAGTAGGATCACTACATGATATGGCCGTGTGTGCTAAGTATATAAAGAGGGAGTGCAGAGCTGTGGGGATCGAAGGTGCAAGAGATCACGTCTGTAGGGGTCAGGGGACAGGGATTAGAGGCACACAGTGAGGTAGGCTGGGCCCAGGGGATTGCTTCCTGGAGTCGTGGACAATGTCCTGTGGTCTCTCTAGGGCCTGGAACACAGTGGGCCCGCCCAGACTGTGGAAGGAATGAGAAATAGGAAAGCAGGTAAAAATTGGCTTGGAAAGATAGACGTTGGGTTCCACATTAGAGAGGTTGGCTTTGAGAAGCTTGAGGAAATCCATGCCATGGGGCCTGTGGGCTTGGAGCTGAGGTTTTCAAAGGAGTCCTTTGGAAAGGGACAGTTGATGCTGGGCATTGGCAGTGGTCTGAAAGGAAGCTGTAGAAAGAGGAGAGGACAGGAAGAGGTCAGGTCACGGGAGCACGGGTGAAGGGCTTTGCAGGAGCAGTCCAGGAGGGAGCATGGGCTTGAGGAAGGAGACAGCCTAATCAAGACGCAGCCGTGGCCAGCAGCATGCGGGGCTGTGTATGTTGGCCAGCATGAGGCCTTGGAAGGATGGTTCTGGGGGGTTAGCTACTTGCCATTTAAAAGGCCCAGTTCAGTTACACTCTCTTCATTAAGCCATCCTCTTCTCACCCTTTGGGCAAGAATTTATTCCTCCCTTCACTGGGCTCCCACCATGTCACACATTGTCACACCTTTGCTGGAACATGGGCACTTCGTCCTATGCTGGTCAGTGTGTGAGGTCATCGTCCCCAAGACTACTCTGCCAGGCCTCTTCCGCCTTTGCATCCACTGTGTAATTGATTCTTTTGACCCAAATGAAAGAACAAAGGAGGACAGGAGCGGCCAGCACTGGTTCAGTGAGACCTGTTTCCCTGGAGTGGGGAAGGGCGGGCAGCCATACTGCAGAGCATGCAGAGGAGGGGCAGTTCTCAGCAAAAAGGCTTCTTTTTCTCAGGGCCTATGTGGGACGGATGGATGCTCTTGGGTAAGCTGTTTACTCTGGGTTTCTTTTCCCTTAAATTCAGATTTAAAACCCAAAATAGCACTGAGCAACTACTGCATGTGATAGATTCAAAAGGCACAAAATGATATATAGTGAAAAGTCTATCTTAACAGCCTCTCTCTCATAACGTTATATCTTGGAGAACATTCGAGATGAAGACATAAATAATTTCTCCTTCATTCCATGGAATGTACATAGTAGACCTTGACTAAGGGACAAGTTGTTTCTAGTCTTTGCTATTATAAACAGTGCTTTGATAATAGCGTTGTGAATACCCAGTCTCTTCTGAAGTGCTTTGGGGTGGGGAGGGCTCAGGTGAGACTGTGGTCACCTCCCTCTTGAAGTGACTCCCTTGGGGTGAGGAGGCAGCTGCGTGTCCTGCTTTCTGCAGTCCTGGGCCCAGTGGAGTCTGTTAAAGGGCTGGGGGTTCCTGTGGCTTCAGCGCCACCCGCTGCCCAGTCAGGGGCCGCATCCACCCGGGCCAGCTCATGCCGTCTGCTGCCCTCCCCTCGCAGACCTGGCCTACGGCTCCGTGATCACCGTGAAGAACCTGCGGATGGCCGTCGGCTACCTCCACTCACACAGGCACTTCTACCCTGAGGGCGTCGGCGCCCGCCAGCAGCAGGTCAGTGGCCCTCCGTACACTCGTGCCACGGCCGCACCACGCTGATCGCCGTGCCCAAACCCGCCCTTCCCTTTTTGCCTTCCCATCCTGTCCCACACTGTTTCCCCTGCTTGGGTTATCCTGCCCCCTCCTGCACCCTTTCCTCTTTCCCCTAGCTAACTCCAGCTTCCCAGGCTTCCACTGGGGACGTCCCCTCCAACCACCACGTCCCGCCTCTTCCTGGTCCTGGGTCAGGTGTGTGGTGTGGGCGGCTTTCTCGGCACCCTTGACGAGCACCCTTGACGGTAACCCTCTTCCCATTGAACTGGGAGCGCTTCCTCCTCCTCTCCCCTTGCTGTCTGACTGCTGGCTTCTGGGAGGCTCAGGTGCCTAGCTCGGCGGCCAGCACAGAGTGGATGATGAGTAGAGCATAAAGGTTATAGATGCAGGCCTGGGAGCCAGACTTGTGTATCTGAGTTTGAATCCTGGTTCCACTAGAGTGTGACTTTGAACAAATTCCTTAACCTTTCTGTGCTTCCGTGGGCTCATCTTAATTGTCATAAGGTTGCTGTGAGGATTGAGGGAGATAATCCATGTGAAGTGCTCGCTGAAGGGTTAGCCATGAGTATCATCTGAACGAGTGAGGGACCCTGTCCGTGTCCACGTGATGGGGTGGTTGGTGTGGCTGTGGGGACAGTGCCTGAGAGGGAGAGGGTGTTGGAGAGGTTGGTGGGGCCAGCTCGTGAAGGGGCCTCCAGTAGATTTAATTTTGTTCTGCCAACCCTGGGGAGGCATTGAAACTTATTAAGAGATAAGATGTGATTTGGTTGCTAGTTTAGAAAGACAGCTCTAGCAGGAGTGTGATGGATTGGAAGGAGGAGCAGACCAGAGGCAACAGTCACAACAAAGGACAGTGAACAGACCTCAGGGAGAGGAGGGGAGCGATTCAGGGCCCAGAGACAGATGTCAGGGGTGAGCTGTATCAGGTCTGTAGTCTGGAGGCCAGAAGGTCAAGGTGTATGTGTGATGATGCTGGTTCACTGTAATCAGAAGTGGAGGAGGAAGCGTGGCTTTGGAGATGAGTTTTTGGTGTGTGTTCTAGGCCTGGGGCTTGTCTCAGGAAGGAGATGTGAGTGTGTAGCATACAGGTGTTAGTGACACAGTGACATTGCCCTGAAGGGGTGTGCAGAGGGGAGGGCAGTGTGTAAAGCAGCATTAAAGGCGCTCAGCGTGGCACTGGGGGAGCAGCTGAGGAGGAGGGAGTGGGCGGGGAGGGCCCGGCAGAGCCTCCGGGGGCAGGAGACGCCGGCAGTTCAGGTGCTGCAGAGACCGTGGAGAAGGAGGCCTGGCAGCTCTGACCAGGAGTCTTCTGTGGTGTGGTCAGGGCCGAGCTCGCAGATCCGGTGACCTGAGGAGAGAGGGAGGAGGGGGTTGCAGGGCTGGCTGCTGTCTGAGAAGCTTAAAGTGCGATTTCTCTTCCTGCAAAATGGGCTGAATCTTTACTCTGTGAGAAACTGTTGCATCTCAAAGTGTTTTATTATTATTTCCTTATTTACTAGAAAGTTGACCCAGAGTATTGGGTTTTTGTATCAGTTCCCATTCTGGGCTCTTTGCTTCTCTCTAGTGTAATGGTTCTCAGCCCTGACTGCACTTTTTTCATAGAATCCTCTGGAGAGCTTTTAAAAAATTCTGAGATTCTTGCTTAATCAGTCTGGGATGGGGCCCATGCCTTGTGTATTTTTGTTTCAATTTTAAGCTTTCCAGAGGAGTCTAACATACAATTTGCCCTTCCGTGGTGTTACCTTGCTACTGATGTCATGTTATAGTAACAGATGTGGTGAAAGGGAACCTCTATACTGTGACTTCCCTGGTGGCTCAGGTAGTAAAGAATCTGCCTGCAACTGCAGGAGACCCGAGTTCAACCGCTGGGTAGGGATCATCCCCTGGAGAAGGGAATGGCAATCCATTCCAGTATTCTGGCCTGGAGAATCCCATGGACAGGGGAGCCTTGGCAGGCTGCAGTCCATGGGGTCGCCAAAGAGTCAGATATGACTGAGCAACTAACACTCATTCACTCATACTGTGCAAAGAGCCATGTTCTGAAAGGCCCTCTGAAGCTGGTCTTAGTGTTACCCCCTTGAAGCCCATGGGTGGAGACATGAGTTTGTGAGAACCGTCTAGAGTGAGCATGTAGGCCAAGGGACAGAGGGTCTGCCTTTGTCACTGACCGAGTCTCCGAGCCTTCCTCACCTGTGTCTCCATCAGTAAACTGGGGGATTGGACTTTAATAGCCTCTAGTAGCCCTCCCTGCCCTCTAGGTCCATGTCTTGTCAGCAACTCTAGATCTTGATTTTTAAATATTTTTAAAGCATAATGTTTATAAAGTAAAACTGGAAAATGTAGAGAAGTATTAAAAAAAAAGTTAGACATAATCTGAGGACCAGTGTTTATCCATGTAGATTGATGTACAACATTCTATTGTAATAGGATACCTATGTTCCTAGGAGACCTCATATTATAAAGAAACTTCATTGTAAAAATAAATATTTCAGTGGGAAAAAGAGGTCATGGACTATATTCATAATAAATAAATGACTTTTCTAATAGGAATTTTAATGATAAGGATTTTTGTAAACAGCACAGAGTGCACTTGTGAGCACCGCAAAACCTTAGCATCCTCGAATAAATTCAGGCTGGGTGAAGCAGCTGTATGGGCTTTCGTTCCAGAGTTAGGACTTAATTTCTCTATGGCTGTGAAACTTTTAACTTCTTGTATGTTCTTAATACCATTGTCCCTAATTTTTTCTGAGAAAGCAAGAGCCACTGAAACACAGCAGCCATAATAGATGCATAATTTTTTTCCTGTATCCTAATTCCAAATCACTTTGGAAGTAAATGTCATGTTTTATCCAACTGGAGTTATTAAAACTCACAGTGTAAGAGAGGCATTCATTTCTGTTGCTTCTGGGTATTTATGTGCTTGTTTACATGCTTCACATGATTGTATGTATGTAGTCTATCCTGGGAGCTTTGGGATGAGCTGGCTGGGTTTGAATCCTGTCTCTCGAGCTGACAAGCTGCGTAACCTTGAGTGGAATTGCTCAGCCTCAGCTTCCTTGTAAGGTGAGGGTAAGCATCGTACCCACAGCCTAGAGGTGAGACGTGCCCAGTGCTTAGCACAGGGCCTGGCAATAGATGGTAGCTGTTTCCAACAGCAGCATTTTATAAGCCTTTTCCTGTGCTGGTAAAAAAAACATGCCCTGAAATGTTTTTTGTGTAATGTTCTTTCCTGTGGACATTCCATCATGTTAACTATTCCTTTGTTATTGGGGTTCCCAAGATTTTCGCTGGTAGATTAATTGCAGCATTACATACGTGTGCACGGGCATACACACACACACCATTTTTAAAAATTAGCATATACAAAATGGCTATGGCTAAAATTTTAGGCTTCTAGGACAAGATATTAATAGAACTTTTTCCATTTCATTTGGCCACATTCTCGAAAACGTAACAGCCTGAATTTTTCATTTAGAGAGTTTGAGGCATGGTCTTGATGACTTTTTAAAATGCACTAAATCCTCTTTGGGTGCTGTAGACTGCCTTACACTGTGTTGTCATGATTCCTGCCTCTAGGAGGCTGGAACTTGAAAGACAGGATGCAGGGAGGCACAAAGAGACCAGTCAAAAGGGCTTTTGTGGGAAGATGCCTCTAAGTGCCGAAGGAAGGAGAGAACCGCACTTACCAATCGCTGTTTCTGGCCCTGTTGGGAAACATGGCCCCTCGGGTGGGTGGCTGGGGCTTCTGAGAGAGCCCAGAGCAGTCCTGGCTCGCTGCTGACTGTCCTGTGGCTGACTGCGCTGATGGTGACACTCTCCTCCCTCCCACCTCCTCCTCCTTCCCCCACCCCACCCAGGTCACCACCTATTTGCACAAGGACTACAACAACCTATGGATTATCAAGAAGCATAATTCGAACTCAGGTAATGCAGCAGAGAACTGATGCTTCTTCTATTGTTACTTACTCTGAGCCCTCCTTAACATTTCTCATGCTTCCAAAAGAATGGTTCTAGGATGGGCTTTCCTGAGCATTCTTTGCCATCTTCACTGATCTCAGTTATCCTTTCAACAGTGATTTATTGAGCCCCCGCTATGTCCCAAGGACTGTGGTTGGTCTCGGGATAAGCAGTGAGCAAGAGTGATACGATCGGGCCCTGAGAGCTGTCATTTTGAAGCCAGAGAGCAGCCCGAGGCTCAGACGTGGTCTGGATGAGGTTCCCTGGGCACGTATCGGGGACACACAGTCGCTGCTCTCGTGTCTGATTCGGAGCACAGCAAACCTTGCAGACCCCAGCGTGTGGTGAGGCTTGGGTGTCTGGATGTGATAGAGGGCTGCTGCCCACTGCTCGTCCCAGGCCTGGGCCAGTCAGTGGGAGACCCATGGGCCTGCCAGCCCTGTGGCTGGGCTTGTCTAGGCTGCCTCTGTCTGGCCTGGGCGAAGCAGCTCTGAAGCACACCTGTTGGGCTCCTGGGGCTTTGTGACAAGGGCTGTGTCTGTATCTTCTGTTTTTTGGACAGACAGCTGGCTACCTGCAGACTGTGCCTTCTGCTGCAGTTGAGAAGAGAACAAAACATCTCCTGCTCACCTTCCAATTGTCTTATGCCGCAGGTATTCACTGTGACTCCTCGGCAAACACCACCTGGCTCAGCCTGTCTCGAGTCAGCTGCTCCTGGTCTTCGTGGGAAGTGGCAACTTCTCATTTAAATTCATCTTCTCTGTTCCTTTCCCCAGCTCCTCCTGTTGCTGTGGTTTTCTGGCTAGAAACATGACCAATGTGACCAGTGTCTTTGTACCTACTCCTCAGTAATACAAACTCTGTGACACCATTGTGTGCCTGCATGCTCAGTCTCTTCAGTCATGTCCAGCTCTTTGCGACCCTGTGGACCGTAGCCTGCCAGGTTCCTCTCCCGGATCTGTTCTGTACCCTCATAAGACTGGTACTTAACAGGCCAAGTATAAGTGGTCTATTGCAATGAGGATTTATGAGGGAAGACCAGCTTTCTTTCTAAAGTCACGTGGGCACAGACCAAATCTTTAAACATCCCTGTTCTGTTACCCTGTTGTAGCTTCCAGGTTAAGGTGGCTGCATTTCACCCAGTGACGAAGGAGTCATGTGAAGGCAGGTTGCCTCAAGCACTTGGGAAGTGGGAACTGTCTAGATGAAGGTCTCTGTGTTCTTTATGGCCATAAGTGCCCCTCCCCCACAGGCCCATGTGAAGTAAAACTTCCCTCCCCGTTGACGTATCGGATCTGTCATCTTGCTGATTATTCTTTCTAAGAGACCTTAGAAGGCAGCATAGGAATGGGCATCTCTCCAGTTGAGTTCTCGAATTCTCTTGTGAGCCAGTGATTTGTCCTGGCAAATCTGTCTTTCCTAACCTTGAGTGTTGGTGTCCACTCCTGGGACAGAAATTTGCAAGGATCCTTCTGTGTTGCTGTGATTACTGCCACTTTCCTTTTCCACTATCATCACTTCGTTAGATCCTCATTGGTCTTGACATCTTGATGATATAGAAGTAGTCCTTTTCTTTCATCATTTTCTTTGGCTCACATTGACCAAGTTTATTGCCAGAGACAAAATAATCACTGGCAAAATATGTAGGCTTTAACGTTTGATTTTGAAGAGAGCTGTGCAAATGGTTATTTGCATGGAATTAATATTTGGAAGACTTTTATTTTTACTACCCAAAGGAAAATCTTATTATTTATCTTCCCAGCTTAAAAATCCTCTAGTAAGGGGCTTCAGTGCTTGGCCGATAAAGGCCACGTTTCCCAGCCTGGTATACACAGTCTTCCCCACTTGTCCACCCCCTGGCCGATTCCCACCCTCCTTTCTGCTCTCCCACCCTAACCATGTGAAGTCATTTGCCGTTGATCAAATGAGTTTTGCTCTTTCATACCTCTGTGCCTTTTCCCCACTCATTCACCTGACAAAATTTTCCCTCTCTTTTAAGAGTCTTTTCAAGCATTATCTCTGGGACACTCTTCCCTTCTCCCCTCAGACAGTTGGCTTTGGTCCCACAGCTTTCTGTCAGCACCTCAAACACGTACCACATTATAAATGCTATAACTCTTTACTGGTAGGCCCTCGATTAATACTAGTGAGTGAACGATTTCGGACATCAGTGCTTGTTTCTTCTTAGCAGATCCTCTAGACCCTTCACTCCCAGTGGAGTTTGTGAGACATGGAGACATCATTCGACTAGAACACAAAGAGTAAGTAAATTTGCTGCTTAGCATAAATGAGTGGTTTGAGCGCCAAAGGTAGGGATCTCTTTTAAGCTGGAAATAAACAGAATCAGATGTGGACTGAGGCCCCAGTAAAGGAGCAAGGCTGCTGTGCTAAAATGGGAGAATGATTACTTTGCCTATTTTGGCTTTGGGAAGCTTTGGACTTTAAGTTGGACTTTGAGGGTACCTTTCAGTTTCCCTTTACCCAGGGTGAAGGGAGCAGTATTTGAATGGCCCAAAATTTCTTCTTAAGGGGTTGCCTTTAAAAAGATATAGGAGTCTGTTTCTGAATATGGCAAACTAGTTCATTTCTCCAGTGTTCTCCCTGAAAATAACTAAAAATGCCAGAACAATGTAAAAACATCTGAAAAGCATAAAGAACCAACAAGATAGTAAGGAGTTACTACGTCAAAATCTCAGTGAAAGGGGAAATACAGAGAAAAAGTGGGATGCTGTGGCCCCTTCTGCCTTGAACCTACGATCTTGAGTTTTGAGCTTTGGTTTTTCACTGTCTCTTGAGAGAAGAAATTATAAGACCAAGCTCTAGGCTCACCCAAAGTGGTGAGTTATTGTGATCTTCACTCCAGATTTGTAACCCCTAAAGGCTTGGTGTTAGGGTAAATCTGCCCTATCTACCTATATTCAGAGTTTGCTTGGGAGGTCAAGGTGCCCTGGGTGTTAAGGTTTGTCGGGGGAACAAAATCTGGTTCCTGAGAAGTAGTGATTACCAGCTGATCTTCACATGGGTTTGCAATCCAAATTCATTTCACCTGGATTGTCTCAAAATCGTCAAGGCATGAATTTAAATGAACATAATCCTAGATGTAATGTCTCCTAGGTGCCTGGCCAAAAGCAAATGTGAACCCTCTTTTAGGAAAGAAAGGTTGTTATCCATTCCTATAAATAGTTTTTCAGTAACAGTGCACCCAAAAAGTAACCAAACACTCAAGGAAATAGGGCACTATGTGCAAAATGAATGGGAACAGTAGATGACAGAAGCAGCCCTGCAGAAGTTTCATATGAATTATCACATACAGATTTTTAAAATAAAATCAGTGGTTATTTTATATATCTCTATCTATCTGTATATAAGCAGTGTTTTTTCCTTAGTCAGGTTTATGGATACTTAAATTTTAATTTTATTTTTATAATGAACATTGACTACTTGTTATGGCCAAAAGTAAGGATTATTATAAAAAAGTAAATAAAATCTGTTAAACCCTCCACTTCCTGCACAGATCCCCAGTTTGTAAAACTGATAGGAGCAGAAACAGTAGATGGGAGGGAAGAGGTTTACCTGTCTCTGGCATATGTGGATTACAAATTTTAATTTTCTTCCCCCTGAAGCTGCCTCATAAGTCAGACTAGCTTGCCTCATACCACCAACGTGTTCAGTCATCCCCTCTCCCCCCAGCTCGAGTTACGGGTGAACAAAAGTGAAGCCTTTTCTTGGCATGTGGTCCCGTACTCCTGCTGGTCTGTCCCTCCTGGCGTGGGCAGCTCTCCAGCTCTCTGGGTGTTTCTTGTGCGTGGATGGGCAAGAAGGTCCTGGTATGTTGGATTTAGTGGTTTGGATTCTAATTTTTCTGGCCTGAACAGATGACTCTAAATATCCTGGGTAAAAGAAGAAACATCACACATCTCTTTTCTTCAAGATAATGGCACTTCTCTCTCTTCATTTCCAGGACTTCTCGGAACTTGCATAGTCACTATCACGAGGCCCCCCTGACCCGGAAGCACTATCAGGTCACTGGCTATGGCATAGTAAGTGAGCCACTCGAGTGTGAGCAGGACGCCAAACATGTCGGGCCTGGCTTAGGGCCGTGAGGCGGAGCATGGCCTTCCCAGCATTCCGGAACGTTCCTAACGATTGACTGCTCAGGGACTCTTAGCATGCAGGAGCTTTTTGGCTAGGCTTGCTGTGGGAAAGGCCGCCTGTGAAGTCTATTTTTTTCCATCTCTTGCTGCCTATAATAACCATGCCATTTTTGTGTTCTGACACATAATAAATGTCAAATATGAATACTATTTGAGTCTCTTTTAAAATCACATTGTACTCAGAAGCCACAGGGCCACAATATGAACCCAGAGAGGGAATATATAAGTCTATCCTTTGCCAGATCCCAAATTCTCATTGGCTTTATTTTTACGGATTAGCTATCTGTTCTGCAGAGGGATATTGTCCACCTTGCTTTTGAATTTTTACTCCTTGGGGTGATACAGCTTATTGAGGAAGCTCTATGAGTACTTACGACTTGGGGAGGAGTTTGAAAGCAAAAACACCTAGTGGGAAGGTAGATATATGACTGTCTGTCTAAGTTCCCTTCCAAATCCCTTTGGTGCTTCAGTAAAGACTCTGGATTCCTTAAGGTAGAGTTCCCAATCCTCCTTCCATTTGCTCATCCCACATTATACTAGAGCCAAGACTCTGACCTTCATCTTTGTCTGGTGGACATCTCCTGATGTGAATTAGATGCAACTGTCTTAATTTCCACAGTATGATATCTAGGCTAGACATTCCTTAGGTGGATGAGTGTCCATATGGCCATGGTGATGGATGCAAATGACCCAAATTTATTTCTGTTGGCTTGTGGTGATGTCTTGAGTTTAATTTAAGTGCAGAAGCATCTATTTAGAACTTAAACTGTAGTTCTGTGAAGTGGAGAATTGGACTTCAGGTTCCAGGCTTCATACTACTTTCCTTGGTTGTGATAGTGAGGCCTGGGGCAATGTCAGTCACGTGGGATGTCTCTTGGGATGTTTCTCTGGCCCTCTTTTTCTCCTTCCCACCTCAGTCACTTAGGCCAGTTTGGCCTTTGACCTCTGTAACATGATGGCATCTGAAAGGCTGACCATCTCCCTTTTTTGATGTGCCTTCTCTAAAGTCATCTTATTAATATTTTCTTTGTATTTTTTTCTTGATTTATGTGGCAGAATGGGTCAGGGGACTCGAATGACTTCTGGCGGATTGAGGTTATTAACAGAAAATTTGGAAACCGAATCAAAGTGCTGAGAAGTCGAATTCGCCTCATCCATCTGGTCACAGGTTGTGTCCTGGGCTCTTCGGGAAAGGTCCTGCCCAAGTGGTAAGTCTCTGGGGTTTTGGCGTCCCAGCAGTGGCTCATGCTTTTCCTTTCACACTTACAAGGAGAATGCCCCAGACTTCCATTCCCGAATGATCAGTGTTCACCTCTTGTTTGCTTTTTCTTTGTGGTGGATGGAGAGAGAAAAGGCATCAAGAGCTTTATGGAGCCCAGCACTCCAGAGTTTCTGTGGTGGTTTACGTGTTGTAACAGTTGAGCAGTTATGTCTCTGGCCTGTGATAACTCTCTGGTTCTGTGTCTCTAACCTGGGCATGATGTGGGCTAGACTACTTCTGGGATAGTCACGGAATAGAAAAGTGAGAGGCTGGAAAGAAGATGGCCGCTAGGTCGGAAAGAGAAGAGTCCCATGCAGCTGACAGTACCTCTGTCCGGTGAGTTTCAGGTCTTCTGAGAGACATTTGTGACTCCTTTCCTAGGGGCTGGGAGCAGCTGGAAGTCACATGCACACCGTACCTAAAGGAAACCCTCAGCTCCATCTGGAATGTGGAGGACCATATCAATCCCAAATGTGAGTGAGGTCATGTCCTGGGCTGGCTCTGAAGGGAACATCTCTACGTCACACTCATCTGAGGAAAATAAACCTTTACAGACTCTGCTGCCCTGGTATCTTATCGTTGCCGTTCTCTTCCTTTTTTAAACCTAGTCTCTTCATATGAATTGTCCGCATGGGCAGCTCCTTTTTCTGCCTGCTCACTTAGACTCCTATCCTCCTTAACCTCTTCTCCCACAAGTGACCGGCGGCCTCACTCAGGGCCAGAGCCGGTTGCCTCTCACTGGGTTTAACTCTTCCTGCCGCCTGCAGTGCAGGTCCATCTGCTTGCCTCCTTCTGGGCTCTCTGTCCCCTCTGTGGCTTACCTCCCTACCCTCCAGGCTCAGAGCAAGCTGGTGCTTTCCCCTTCTGCCCTTGTGTGGGCTCCTCCCCTCTTCACATCCAGCCGAGGCTATTACACAAGGTGATGGCCACGGCCCTTGATTGATCCTGTATTACACTCCCAGGCTCCAATTTGACATTTCCGTTCCACTGTCATCTTCAACTCAACGAGTCTCCGAGCTCATCATCTGCCTCCTAAACTACCCCCTTTAGGGTTGATTTTTCTTCTTCATGCTTCCCACTTCATTCTTACCACCTACTTTAACCAACCAGCTAATTAACTACCTAATTAAACAATTCACTGACGAGTATGCTGGGAGCCGTGTGGGGCCCTGGGGATGCCTTGGTGAATGAGATAGGCTGGGTCTCAGTCTTCACGTGTGAAGACTGCTTCAGGTGTGGGAGCCTTTGGGGCAGCACCGTCATGAAGGGTGACGGCCTGAGGGCTGTGGGCGCCTCCGGTGGGTGGTGGGGTGGGACGGGGCTTTTCATCTGTTGCCATTGCCTCCCTCAGAATGCCTGCTGAGTGCTACAGGCTGAGGGGATGATGGAGAATTCCTCAACACTCTCACAGGCTTGTTAACTTGGCAGGAAGGTTACACTCAGACCCTGACCGCAGAGTGGATACCATGGACAGACAGCTGTGAGGAGAGGCTGTGTGAGGAAGTTTCACGCCTCTGTTTTTCTTTTTCCAGTGCCAAACATCAGCTTGGAAGTGCTGCAGCCCAGTTTCCCTGAGATAATGCTGGAGTCCCACATGGTGATGATCCGGGTACTGTGACCCCTTCCCATTGGGCAGCTTCTCTAAGAACTCTCAGGCATCCGCAGATTTGGATCACAGATCAGTAACCATGCTATAGGCCCGCTGCCCCCTTGTGGAGGACTCTGAAAGTGTCTTCACATACTGACTTAAACTTGGTCTTCAAGGGCACTAAATGATGGTGGTGATGCTGCTGGGGGTAACTGTGTGAACACTTATGTAGCTCTTGTGTGCCGGGCACTACTGTAAGCACTGCGCATGCATTAACTCACTCACTACTCATTGCAGTGCTCCAGAGATTACTGTCTCCCGTTTATAGAAGAGAGAATTGAGCACAGAGGTTAAGGAACTTACCCAGGGTCACAGCTAAATGGAAGCAGTGGATCTAGGCCTTCAGAGTCAGTGCGAGTGACCGCTACAGTCCTCTGCCTCTAAGTGAGTCTCAGATCTGTTCAAGTGGCAGAGCCCCTGACCTTCACAGTGCTCTTGGTTGAAAATCATGAGACACTGATAGTTGATGCCATCATATGAAATTAGAATCAGCTAGGATGAAAGGCCAATTTGAGTGTGTTGTTTATATGCAGCATAAAATCCCAACCAGGACCCCACTCATGTTCCCAGAGAGAAACAAACTGCACAGGGGGGCATGGTTGATGCTTTTTAAGGTTTTAAAGACTCACTGTTTGTACTCTATCATTAGTAGCTTATAGCTGACATAGGTTTAAAAACAATTGAGAGACAAAATCTTTGAATTGAGAAAATTCTACCCACTAGCTTAAAATTTCCCCTTTGAATTAGAAAACCCCTGCTGCAGTTTTGCTGTTGAGGGGGAGCCTCTTCACTGTAACTTATGGAACACGGGTGCTCTGCGGAACAGCGTTCAGAGCCAGGTTTGTGGGTCTGCGTCGGTGCAGAGAGCAGTAGCGCTCGTTCTTTCTTTCCTGGCGAGCCGTTGTCGGTTGGTCTATACTGCAAGTGATTATGTGAGCAGTACTTGGTCAATACAGTTGGCTTGTTTCAGTAGATTAAATTTAAAAAGTCAAGTTTTGTCATTTTTGCACATTGGGAGGTGATGGGTTGACAGTAACCAATCTCCGGGTCACTACTTTCCTGACTCTGTGCTTGTAGCTGTCACTGTGGCCTGATGACAGAGCTCTTTTGAATATGTGCCTGTCAGTCAAAATATCATTTTAGATCTGGGTAGAATTTTAAGACTAAGTCTAAATAAATAGTCTCATTTCTTCTTTCATTATCTAAGAGGTGGAATCAAAGAAGAAAAGGGACATAAGGAAACTTAATAGGGGAAGAGAACAAAATTGTCTGGACTATAGAAACTGCAGGGCATCTGATAGCTGAGCAGGGTTCTCAGGCGTGGGCAGAGAACACACCTTCCCTGCTGAGGTTAGCTGGAACAAGCCTCCTGGGTGCTAAGCATAGAGAACAATGCACAGATATACATGCTTGTCGTGGTTACAGATTTTCCTTGCTTCCATTTCTTGGTTTACTAAAGGAGCTCGGTTTCTGAAGAGTTTAATGTGTAGGATGCCCTTGGCTTGTTCTAACTCTGGCTGGAGTCCTTGGATTTAGGGCTGAACTGTACTGGCTGGAAGGAATGGATTTCCCTCAGCAGCTGCTCTGAGGTCCAGAAGGAGTCATTCTTCATTGTGGGGTTCTTAAGATGGCCATAGTGATTGAGGGGCTGTGCAGCTGGCCCCTTTGGGTCTGACACCCCCCTGCACTTTCTACCCTGAAGGGGCGACCCAGCCACCCTAGGGAGGCCTGCAGACGACTCCCAAGCCCTTGAAGTGTGGGCTTAATAAAGCTTTAGCTGGTGGTTCAACGAACCAGGCCTGGATCTTTCTTGGGCTAGACCCGTGGTCCTTAGTAGAGCACGGTTTGTGCCTCCAAGGGGGTATTTAACGATGTCCGGAGGCGTGTTTGGCTGGCATAGTGGGTAGGGGTTCTGCTGGCATCCAGTGAGTAGAATCCAGGGATGCTCACCACTCTGCACTGCACAGGCCAGCCCACACCAGAGACGTCTGCAGCCCAAAGTGTCAGTGTCGAGGTGGAGAGACTCTGACCTGACTCCTCCTTGGGAAATGCCTTCTCAGTCTGTTCTGATAACAAGGCTGACACCATCTTGCTGGTTAGCATCCGGGATCCTGATCCTTTTCCTTCTAGTTTTAGCAAAGGTCTGATTTTGCCATGTGAAGACAGGTTGTTAGATATTCTTGGCTGGTGGACTAAGGGGCCTGAGACTGAGTCCTTCAGACTAAAGTGCGTTCTCAGCCAGGGGGTAATGTGTTCTTAGAGGGCAGAAAAAACGAAACAGTGTTTTAATGTCTAAAGCACACATATTCATTCATTATATGAACAGATATATGGAATACCTATAGTATTAAAATGTCATGAGGGGACTTATTGTGCTGGTTGTTTTGCAATATATGCCAATGTTAAGTCATTATGTTGTATACTTGTGACTAATATAATGTTATATATAAATTATACCACAATAAAAAAAAAATACTTTAAATGTCATGGTGAGGGAGTGTTTAAGGAAAATGTATCTTAAAAAGGTTGACTGGGGACAGGTAATAATGAAAAAAAAGTACTGAGAAACACTAGGCTAAAGTAACTTTTTCAGAGTCCAGGAACTTAAGAATTCTGGGTTTGGGTTTGAAATTGGTCTTTCAAGGAAAGAAATAAGTGAGCCCCAATTTTACATGTCCCTCTCCTCATCCTCTTGACACCTTATCCTTGGCTGGGAAGATGGATATATATTTTGTGCCAAGGGGAACAAGTCTGTCATGCCTCTTTCTCTTGAGCAGAGAGAGTCTGAGCGGACTGTCTCTGCCGGGAGATGGAGGCCTGCTCATTGAGCAAAGTGGGGCAGCTGTGGTCAGCACGTGTACGGGACTGAGAGTGACCCCTGACTCTCCCCTGCCAGCGAGGGAGAGGGCAGAGGAGAGAGGGCTTGTCCTGACACGTGGCCACATGTCAGAGATGCCCGTCCCTCACGTTCCTGTCGGCCTTCTAGAGCTCTGTCTGGACTAGCCTTTTCTTTACCACTTTCCTGCAGGGGAACAATGGCCTCAAGCCCAAGGACAATGAGTTCACTTCCAAACCCTGGCACTGGCCTATCAACTTTCAGGTAGGGCCCAAAGCACGAGCTCCTCCCCGGGAACGGAGCCGAGGAGGAGGCCATGGAGCCTTGCTGGCGGTGGGGGTCGCCGGGATTGGGGGGCAGGCCTGACCCGGTGGAGGGTGGCTGGAGACGGGCTCTGCTTGTGCTCGGCTGGACCCAGCCTCCCCAGGGAGCTTACAGAGAAGGCGGCCACTCCGAGCCTCCTGCCCATGCTCCCTGTCTGTGAAACTGGCCCGTCTTCCTCCCCTGGGAGGGGCTGAGCCCTGCGCCCACTCTGTCCTCTGCTCCACAGGGCCTGCGCTTCTCAGGAGTCAATGACACCGACTTCCGAGTGTATCTGCTGGGCAACCCGGTGAGTGCCCCGCATGCCGTGGTGGGGGCCCTGAGCGTGCCCGCGGGGCACTGCTGCCGCCTCTCACCCACCCATGCCCGTCTCCCTGCAGGTGGTCTGGTGGCTGAACCTGCTGAGCCTCGCCCTCTACATCCTCTCAGCGAGCGTCTTTGCTGTGGCTGTGCAGAGGGGCGCGCGTCTGCCTGCTGAAGTCGAAGGTCGGGCCCCTGGACTCCCCGCCCCCACCTAGCAGCCCGCAGGGTGCCCACACTTGGGGAGCACCCACCTGCTGAGGGGCCATCCTCTGCCTTTCCCTCCCTTCTTCCTTCCTCTGTGACTTTTTAGAGCTCCAGGCACCAGAAACCCAGTGCTGTGTTAAACCCTGTATCCTCCCAGCAGAGTTTATTACCTCTGTTTATGGATTGGGAAACCAAGGCACAAAGAGGTTGAGAACTTTGTCCCAGTAGGTGACAGAACTGCAGTTCACACCCAGGTGGTCTGCATTCAGAGCCTTCACTGTTGACCTCTACACTCTATGCACGACTGCCCATCTTTTCTCTTCTGCTCTCCTGTCCTCTAGTTAGGAGGAGAGCAGCCCCGACGCCATGGGCCACAGCATCTGAGACGTTGACACAGGTTCTCTGCTGCGTCTGCAGCTCCGTGTCTTCAGACATGGTCCCAGGCCGCCCCTCTCTCACCCCCGTCCTCGCCTGTGCTCGCACCCCCACCCCGTCTGGCTGCAGAGACCCGTGTGGCAGCAGAGATGCGAGGGCTGGGGCCGGAGGCCGGGCGGCCTGCTGCTGGGGGTTGGTGCCCAGGCCTCCCGGGGCCAGGGAGTGAGCAGTTCCTTCTCCTGCCAGCTGCCGTAGGGTTGTTCGCCGTGGGCGGGTGAGGGACAGAAGGCCCACTCAGGTGACATGGCTTCTGTGAGTCACACGGTGAGGAAGGGGCAGAGCCCACAGCGCAGGCTGCGTGCCCGGCCCTGTCAGCTGACTGGGCTGTGCTGTTTGGGGCCCAGGTCTGTCCCAGGTCCTGCTGCGAGGAGGCGGGCAGCTCCTACTCGGCTGGATGATGCATTACTTCCCCTTCTTCCTGATGGGCCGGGTTCTCTACTTCCACCACTACTTCCCCGCCATGCTCTTCTCCAGCATGCTGACAGGTCAGCGTGGCCCTCTGGGACCTGGGTAAGGAGGGTGGGCGGGACGAGACCACTGTGGAGCGGCGCTGCTGGGGGAGCCCGTCTGTTGCCCTGGGAGACGTCCTCTGATGGAGTGGTGCGGGGTTTCCCTTCCTCCCCAGGCCTTCTTTGGGACACCCTCCTGCGGCTCTGTGCCTGGAGCCTGGCCTCCTATCCGCTGGCCGGGTGTGTGCACACGCTGGGCATCCTGAGCCTGCTCCTGGGAACTGCCTACAGGTGAGTGCCCCCTGCATCTGCGTAGTCGACCCCCCAACCCCAAGGCCTCAGCCCTGGGTGCATTTTGGAACCTCTGTTGAAGCACACTGGTGCCTGGCTGTGTCTCCAGAGGTTGATTCTGGTTCCGTTGAGCCCAGTTTGGGCCCTGTCAGCCATAGTTTCCAAAGCCCTCCACATGACCCGAAGGTGTGGCAGGTGGAGAAACATGGATTAACACCCTGCATTCTCACCTCTGGTCAGCGGCTCCCAGCTCTGCACCTCTCTGGCCCATGTGGGAGGGCACCCCTCTGCAGTCACCTGCAGCTCTCAGCGGGCGCAGCTTTCAGGGTGGGGGCGGGTGGTAGAGGGTCACCAGGTGGTGTGGTGTGGCTCAGAGTAACTGCAGGGAGGACGCTGTTTGGCAGGCCGCCCCCTCCCCGGCCTCACAGTCTCATAGATCTGTGGGTGAGTGTCACTGGCCTTGAGGGGCCAGGGGTGGGCAACATAAAGTCCTGAGCTGGGAATAGGGGACCTGTGACCTGAGAGCACGTCCACATTTTAACAGAGAGTCTGGACCACACAGCCTGTGACCAGACCCTGGCCTGCTCTGTCTCCTGGGCCTTTTGAGAAGAGCCCGTCTCCTTTACTGTCATTAAGTCGGCCTTTTTCAAGGTCCCAGAGTATGGTGTCCCCAGGTGGCAAAGTCACACAGGCCTGCTGACATGTCGGGGTGGGTCCCGTAGGTAGAGAAGGTCTGAGGAGCTGATTGTCGGGGGTCTCAGGGCTCCCTGCCTCCTCTGAGGCCCTAGGGTGCCAACCACCGCCCCCTCCCCCGGGTTCTCCACCGCAGCTTCTACCTCTTCCACCCTCTGGCTTACGGGATGGTAGGTCCCCTGGCCCAGGACCCCCGAAGTCCGATGGCCGGGCTCAGGTGGCTGGAATCGTGGGACTTTTGAAGCCACTGCGAGGACTCCAGCCTGAGACCAGGACCTTCGTGGGGATGGCCAGCTGTGAAGCCAGTCCCCAGGCCTTCCCAGCCATGGAGGAAGCGGCCCGAGGAGCCTGTGGACCTCCGCTGCCTGCTGGCACCCCACCCCAGGAGTGCAACCCACTGGGGAGCACCGCGGCCCTGCTCCTCCGCAGAGGCTCCACTGGGTCTGCTCAGCCACAGACGACTTCCCTCTCAGGCCCGTCCCCCGTGAGCGGCGTAAGGAAGGATGAGTGTGGGAGAGTGTGGGGGTGAGTGTGAGCATGCGTGTGTCCGTGTGCCTGTGCAGTGTAGACCGTGACTGTGGACAGCGGAGCGTCATAAACTCTAAGAAATCGTCCAGGGCTACAGTAGTATTTTCTGGTGTTTTTTTCTCACTGAATTGGGTTGTAAGATTCATCAGAAATCAGCCCTCCAGGAAGGCTGACTGCACCAACACCGCCTTGGGGTATCACCTCGGGTGGAGCCGGCAGGATTATCAAGGCTGTGCCGCCCTCCTTCCCACCAACAAGCAGATCCCTAAGCTGAACACCCCAGGCTGCAGGACCCGCCTCCCTGCACGCCCCTGCGTGGCTGCTGCTGGGAGTCTCCCCTGTGGCCACAGGTGGCTGGACCCCTGCCCGCAGTGTGTGCTCAGGGGCCTGGGCCCCAGCGCCAGGCAGCCCTGCTGGCTCTCCTCAGTCCTCGGCTCCTCGCCATCCGGGAACACCGAACGTGTGGTTGGTGGGCACACGTGGTAGTGTTGTGTCCTCAGGGCTTGGGAGCCAGGGGCAACTAGTGGCTGCCGCTCCCCTTCCTTCCGCATCCAGGCTGGCTGTGAGGTTGGGACCTATGCTCTCCCGGGGGCAGGGAGAGCCCTCCAGCCCCTCTCCTAGCACCCAGGGCAATTGTGCAGCAGACCAGGGCCGTGTGTGGGGTTGGGCTGGGCTCCCGGTGGGGTCTGGGGCTGGTTGCCCTGGCCTGTCTGGACTAGTGTTCCTGTCACTCACTAAGCTTTCCCCATGCTTCCTTCTCTGGTCCCCAGTGCTGACGCCCTACTTTCACTGTGTTTCACTCCCCTTCCTCTGGGTCACTGTTTCACCAATCTCCATTTCCCCAAGGCCCCAGAGCACCTAGGCATGCATCAGAACTTCTCTTTACCACCTCTAAGCCCAAGCAAGCAGCTCAGAGCTGTTCCTTTTACTGCCTCCCCAGATGAAAGAAAGAAAACCCTTGGGCCAGAACTGAACTAACCCAAGGCCAATCCCTAAGCCCGCCTCCGTCCTCCTGGTGCAAGACAAAATATTTATTTTGTCTCAGAGGACTGTAACGCTTCAAGGTTTAATGATGAGCCTCTGCCACTCTCCATCTTCCCTCCTCTATAGCCCCCACCAGCTCTGCCAAGGTCAGAGCTCTTTCGAGCATCTCTGCTCAGTGGTTGCCACGGAGACTGGAAATTGGTCCCAAGGACAGGCTGTGCTACCCACTGGGTGGTGGGGAGGGAAGCTTCTGGCCATGCTCGGACATCCAGACCGACCATCATTAATGTTAATAGAGGAAATGCAGTCACTTCGAGAGCAAGGCAGGTTTGTTAATTAGATCTGGGGCCCCATGACCTCCCTTCCCCAGGGCTGCAGCCCTTTTGACTTCCCCCAGCAGGAAGCGCTGCTGCCGGGTGCTGAGTCTGGGCTGCTTGCTTAATTGCGTTTCTGGAAGGGAGGGAGAGCAGGGATGGGCTTGCCACCAGCCCCCTTCTTCTCTCTCCCAGGCCAGGTTGCTTTCTTCTGAGCTGGCATGGGGCGGGGGGGGCAGCCCTCTGGGTGGGCTCTCCTGGAGGTGGAATGCGGGAGACCCTGGGCTGGACTGTTTCAAATAACAGTGGCCCCAGGCTGACAACCGGGAGGTGGTGGCTGTTTCTCCCGGTGCCTTCTTACTTCCTAATAGGAGCTCATGGGAAGGGAGGGGCCCTGAAGGAGTCAGAGGGGCAGCCACTCTGGTGAGGGCGAGGAGGGCGAGCGCTCAGGCGGCCTCCTGCCTGGCCGCCCTCCTAATCTGGCCACCCTGGGGATAAGAGCTTCCTTGGTCTCTTCCACTGCTCTCCAGAGATGGGAGAAGAGTGTCTGCCCACCTCACCCCCTCCTTTGCCCAGGCTGGCGCACGCTTGTGTGGCTGCATGGGCCGACACAGCTCCCAAGGACTCAAGTTGTGTTGTTGGAAGATGCTGGGGAGAGGGGCTGTCAGAGCCATGCTCTGCACACGGGCTCCAGCCCCCGGGAGAATGTGACACGTCCTGCAGACGTACTGGTGGAGGAAGGAGACATTTGCCAGCTCAACCTCCAGCCAACTTCTTAAACCACATTTTATATTAAAAAAATTTCTTTTTCCACAGATAATCAGAGGCCATTTACTTTTGTAATAAATAGCTCTTATTTTGAATGCCATGTTGTTCTTGTTGTACTTAATTGAATCTGACTTGCCCTCTGGCTCCCAGAACGAAAAGAATGTTTGGAGTGCAAGAGCTGCTCCATTGTGTCTGGAGTCTCCAGCAGAGGCCGTGGGCGGGGCAGGTGGACCGGCTGCAGCAGGAGACGCGGAGGCCGTCCCACAGATAAGGCTACTTGAGTAATGCTGGTCGTTACTTGTATTTGTTTAAACATTCCCAAATAAGCAGGAAGCTGGACCTTATTTTTCCCTCTTGTAACCTCGTCACACAAGCATAAGGAGGAATGAGAGCGCGCGTCCACTTTGAGACAGCTGAGTGGCCCAGCACTGCAGCACCAGTGTCCATTCTGCTCCCCAGAGGCCCCTGTCTTGGCAGGCGTCTCCTGATCAGGGGTCACGTTAAGGTCCGAAGGAGGTAAGAGCTGACGTGGTTTGGACCATAGTTGAGGGAGGAGAGGAGTCCAGTGCACTGTGAAACCGGGGGTCTTCGGGGCTCACTGATCCCCTGCTCCTGCTTAGGACCAAGAGGAGCTGGAGGCAGGAAAGGGGGGAATCCTGCAGCCCCCTGGGGGATGGAAGGGTTAGGAAAGGACCAAACGCTTCCTGGCACAGCTTGGCTTACCATCTCCCGACATGTCCGTAAGAGCAAGTCCTCATAAAGGCCCAGTGAAGTCACTGCTCTTTTTGTCCCCATTCCATCCAGGATAGATTCGATTCCTTACCCGAGGTGCCACGATCAGTCAGTAGAGCCGGGGCTGGGTTTCCCAGGTGGCACTAGTGGTAAGGAGTCCTCCCACCAGTGCAGCAGATGTGAGACCCAGGTTCGATCCCTGGCTGGGGGAGATATCCCCTGGAGAAGGGAATGGCAAACCCACTCCGGTATCCTTGCCTGGAAAAGTCCCAGACAGAGGAGCCTGGCGGGCTGCAGTCCATGGGGTTGAAAAGAGGCGGACACGACTGAGCACTCAGCAGGAGGGCCGGGCCTCGGCACTGAGTTGGGCTTTTTCTGCTCCTCCAGCCTGCTGCTGGGACTAGAAGCATCTGCTCAGGACAGCCTGGGTCCCCGGGTGAGAAGCATAGCCTCAGATTAGCACGTTCCTTTGCACCTGCTGCCTAAACCATCCACAGCTCATCCAAGGCCCAGTGTTTGCTGGTGCAGCCAGACCAGTGGTCTTCTGGGAGGAAAAGAGCCCTGATTTGTAGCATCTGTCTGGGCTCATGCAAATGCTCCACCATGGCCTCTTTCAGGCCGCCAACTTGATTGATGTCACTGAGAAACTGGAAAGATGAACCCGATTTGCTCTCCCAAGCCATCCAAGAGCCAGCTCCAGCACCCTTTTGACTCAGACCTGGTGACCTTGCCTTGGTCAGAACTATGGATGCAGCTCTTGGTCACAGCCCATTAAAGTGAGGGAGGCAGAGGAGTGCAGAGGTCTGGAGGGGGGCCAGGGTCAGCCTTAGGTCAAATACTGGCCCCACCACTTATGAGCCAGTTACTTAACCTTGTTGCCTCCATTTCCTCAACAGTAAGACAAGGGCAAAATAAACAGGATCCACTTGACAGAGTTACTATGAGAATGAAGAAAGGTAATGATGTAAAGTCCCTTGCACAGTATCTGGACACGGATGCTCAGGACATGCAAACTCTTTATCATTGGTGATAAAGCAACCTCCGTGACAACACTGGCCTCTCCTTGATTAGAACCTCCTGCCCAAGTCTGTGGGCAAATGCTGGGAGGGGGCTTCTGTGACTTTCCCCCAGCCCCTCCAATGAATCCACCCCTCTGTCTCCTGGTTGGAATATACCACCCAGATAGCAAGGCTCAGCCAGGTTCCTGGGCCTTTTTGCTGAGAGGAGCAGAGATTAGAGAGCATTCAGCTCTCTCCTCCTGCCTCCTCCCGCCTCTAAAAAGGCAGAATAGTGCTGACTCCACCACTTACTAGCTAAGGCCATCAACTCGCTAACCCGTCAGACTCCAGACCCTGCCCAAAGGAGAGAAGAAGCAAGCAGCATACCGAGTGTAGACTGTTGCTAGGAAGTGCAAACTGGGTGGAGTGGGAAGCCTTAGATGAGCCAGCAGGCCTGCACAGAGCCCTGGGCATCTGCGCATTGAAAGATAAAGGCCCGCAGAGACATACATGGCCCTCCCCACGACCTGCCGAGTTGGCTGCAGGGCTATGGGATGCCGACCCGGGAGTCTAATCCCTGAGCACCCCGGCATTCTCCCATCAGCCCCCAGGCCCTTTGTGTTCTCCCTCGGGGATCTCCTGGATGCCTTAGGACACACGCCAGCGGCCTTGCAGCTTCGCTCCACTGCTCCAGCCCAAAGACCCCCAAGATGTTGGGGGGGGGGATGGGGAAGAGACAAATAAGGTGTGCTCCAAAGTCCTGCATCCCTGGAAGAGGGAGAGAAGCGAGATGGTTTTGCCAAGCTTGTCTGGGACCAAGAAGAGTATCGCTGAGGCCCTCAGGCCTGATTCAGGGCCAGCAGAAGTTCTAGAAGGACAGGATTCCATACTTCATGCCTAGCACAGGGTTGGGCATGGAGCCTCAGCCAGTTCATGACTGAACTGTACACCCACCTTGTACCCGCGGCCCAAAGGAGATGGCCTGAGAAGTTCCTGGAGACCCCACTCCACCCCCGTTACCACACCGCTGAGGAAACTGGAAAAGAGAGGTGGGCCGACTGACAGGAGATAGGCTTGGAGACGACATAATGAAAGTGAGGATCTTGCTCTTTAAAACACGGACCACTAGGACTGGACTGGGGCCCAAGGCACTTTCAGACTTGAGAGAAAGTTTCAGGTCTAATTGACAGGTGACCAACCTCATACCTTGAAAGGCAAATTCAGGAGATTCTGCTTCCTGAACTTCAAATTAAAGAAAGAAACAGTGCTTCTATTTAAATGTGTACAAAAGTCTATTAAAAAATCGCTTAATAGTAGAAGGTTCTCACTGAACCCCCTCAGTTGTCCAGGGAGTAGAGTGCGCACAATTGCTGCACCTGAGACCCCATCCCCTGGCCAAGCAGAGCTGGGCTTAGAACCGGAGCTGACAGATGTCTAAGGATGGAGCCCCAAGAAAACGCAGGCCGGTCTGGACAAGGCGGCGGGCTTGGCCCTGTCCCTAAAGCTGAGCGCCCTGGTGGCCCCCGAGTGTCCCCGGTGCTTCAGTCGGGAACCAGAGCTAGGGTAGACCCTGCCCTACCCTTGGCGGCCCTCCACCGGCTCCGCCTGGTCACACAGGTAGGAGCCCTGGCCTTCTCCGACCTCCACCTCGGGGCAGCAGGAAGGAGACCTGGGGCCAGGGGTCGGATGC